AACTTGCCGGTCATAAATTTAAGCACTTTTTTTAGTTCGAAAAAGAGTGAAATAAAACTCTAGCAACAAGTTAGATAAAAATATAAATTAATTACATCACAGTTCTATAAATATCCCCTGGAGATTATTTTTATATCCATTTTTATTCGATATTCCCGATCGCAATTGAGAAAAATAAGCAAAACTCAACTCCTTGGCGTAACGCAGTTGAAAATTGCATTTGAATTTCATTGGATTGCGTTTTACTGGTTTCGGTATCCCGTAAACGACCGACCGGTAAAAGGTGAAACCGTGAAACCGCGTGAATGTTAAATAAAAGGACAGCTTGAAGCCGGGAAAACGTCAGCCTTCAGCAGACTGAAGTTTTCATTCTGCGAAACCGAGACGCGGGAAACGGGAGTTTTATTGTTATTGCCAGCACGCGTCGCGCAACGTGACGTGAGATGCGCATAAAATAAACATTCTTCGCGAGGGTTGTGCGATGGCGCGCAATTGGCTACCGTGTTTGATCATCAAGCGCACGGAAAATAACTTCTAATAAATTTCACCGACAACAAAGCGAACAATCGCAAGTTAAACTCTAAACTTTTTTTTCTAAAGATTAGATTCTCTAGAGTTTAGAGAAGCGTAGAAAAGTAGTGGTTTTGTAAGTTGTGAGGAATTTTCCACGTTAAATGACAAGTCGACAGGCGAATCCGACATGAACGGACAGACGGACGTATCGGGCCCCAGAGTCGGGCGTCAACTCGATCGTGTAACTTAAGAACTTCCAGCAGGCGAACGGAAGACAAAGCCATCGGGAGAATGAGAGAATTTAAGAAAACAAAACTTGCTCTTCTTTTCTTCACGTTGCGTTGGATAAACCAACATCAGGATAGTTTACTTGGTGTAACTTTTCATTCTGTTTTCTTATTTCGCGTTGTAGAGTGATTTTCAGCTAAATATCTCCGAATGTTCTTGGTTTTGTTACAAATCCGGTTCCTTTTCCGCTTTGATAGAACCACTAATGTAAAGTTTAGTCATTAAGAACAGACGCAAAAAAAAAAAAACAAAACAAAATAAAAATTTAAATTGTGTGTTTAAAATTAACTTTTCGTTATTTTCCGTTTGCTGTTTAACAAAATTGATTGAACTTGTATCCAAGCTAATAAAACTCGAAATTCGCAAATCGCGCGTGGGGTGTAAAACATCAATGTAAAATAGGAAAGGGTTGATGACGTTAGCATCGCTGGTGTGGTTCCTGCGCTTTGTAATTCACTTTAAACATTTTCCCCGCTCGTTTTCGCACGAATTAACTTCATCCAACCTCAGAGATGCTCGTGCGCTTTGTGGACGCAGACACCAGGAAACTTCTCATTTGCGTTTCGTATCGTTCGCACAAAGCTACGAATCGCAAACGATGTGGATTCAGAATAGGATCAGTAAGCTAACGAAAAACTTCGACAAACTTTCGCGCCGTAGACTAATAACAAGTAGTTAACGAAAATCAAAGACTACCGTCTAAAGAAGTGTAAAGTGAACATAAATTTCCCCACAATTTTAACTTATAAATTAAACTGCACATTCAAGTATCTCTTTGATTTAGTTGCGCCTAGCTGAAAGCAATTAACAATTAATAGCCCTCTCCCATTTCTTGTTCTATCAAATTTCCCCCCTGGAGCGTTTGAATGTGGCAATAATTAAATTAATTTACCGACTCGATGGTGCTCGACGCGAGCGCAATGTTTTAATATTAATAGCATTACTTAACCGCGTTAAACGGCGTCGCGTTCGCCTTCGGGGGCTGGCTTTCGGGCGCTTTCATCCATATTGAATGCGCTCAATGATTATTATATCAAACGACGGCGAGATTAATTTATGCGCGCCGCCAAGACGGCAGCCGAGGACTAACCGCAAGCCACTTGCTCGAGGTCGGTCATCTTCCACTTCAATTGAATCCAATTCGATTTAATTTAATAAGGTACGAACCGATACAGTGTCATCAAGATGCACAAAACACACATAACCTTAATTCAAAGCTAATATAACCTAAAATTCATCCACTGTGTGTTTATTATTAAAGATATAATATTCTATATTTTGAGATAGTGGAAGGCACGAGCAGATGGTTGTGTATTAAGGCAGCGTGTCGAAGAACTAAAGGGCGAAGGATCCTTGCGGTCGTAACGTAATCTAACATAACGGAAGCGTCGTCCGGGGCGGACGACAAAGTCAATTGGCGAGTGGCCTAATGTCGCAAAAGTCGGGTTACTGCTGCCCTAATAGTGCTAACACAAAGGGATGAAACTACCCTTAGCCCCGCATAATCTACGGGCTTTTATCAGACACAAAATGACATTTTCTCAAATAATATAGATTAATCATACGACATAACCTAAAATAACCTAAAAATACATTTCTGGGTGAAATTTATGTTTATTGATTACGTGAAGCAAATATTTTTAAGTGCAATTTAAAAGCTTTCACAGTTTCAATGCAATTTACGGGTTGCGTTTATATTGGTAACCTTAGCATTCCCGGTTTAAGTTCGTGTTCGTTGGTAATAAATAAATGATCGCTCCAATAAAGCACGCTCCCTAAGCGTCGGAGCGCGTTTGTGTGTAATCCATTCGAACGCCTGCAGAGTTAAATTTCTTGCCGAGGGCGCAAGCCTATCACGAAGAATATAAATATCCTGAAAAGCCATCTAAACATACCAAACATTACACATTACACCCAATCTGTGAAGCAGTTGCAGGAGTAATAATAAACAAGCGAATGCAACTTGCTGCAACGCCAAGGTGTTTGTGTTTTCGGGAGCGTTGAACGTGCCTTGGACGTTATAAGTAATCAATGTGAACGGTGCACCTGGATGTATTGTGGATACAATTACGGCCGGCAGCAGGTAGCTGAAACGCGATAACAGTAAACAATGAGCCGTGGAGGTGGCTAGGAGGCGGCTGAGGAGTTGGGTGCGCTCCTGGCAGAGTGTCACGGGTAGTAATAGCCGGATGGCTGCTGGAAGGCCTGGAAGTTTACATCGGTATGGTTGTAATGGTGGCCGGAATGGCGGACTAGCGCAAGCCGCGAATATTTTACCGCAAAATTACGACTCATTACTTAGTTCTTCCTGCAAATTTTCTCTGTTGGTTTTCTTTTTTTATACTTAACAACTTTTCCTGTTTCTTGGAGCAATTTGCTAGACTTTCAATGAAAATATTTTCGTTTTTTTTCTAAGAAAACAAGTCATTACGACCAATTTAAATTTTACATAACCTCAAAACAAAATCTTGAATATGAATTTTTGTTTTTCTTAACTTAATTTATTTTTCTTGGGCAAATTTAGATTTTTCGCTTGAAATAAAGAAAAATAATGAGAATTTTTGCTATTTCTTACTTTGGATAACTTATAAAATAAAAATTTTAATGGTTATATCAAAAAAACTCGGCAACTCGTTGAAATATTATTAAATTTAATTTTTAGTTTTATTTAGTATTATTTACTTTTCTTCACCAAAGTTTTGTTTTGTTCCGAGTAAAACTCTCTTAAAACTGAAAAAGTTTCCTCCCTGACCGAAACCAGACCGAAAGTAGTTGCACATTGAACTTTGCCGCCCCGACACTTGACGCTTTCAACGTTCGAACATTTCAACCCTTGTGAAAAGCAGCCCCTGACGACGCCAACGAACTATAAACCTCTTCCAGGTTCATTGTAGCTCAAACCTTTTTCACAACAAAAAAAAACTACAAAAAATCTTTCAAAAATATTTTTGTAACACTTTGTATACTAATTTATTTTCTCTAAATAAAAGTATAAACTTGCCATGAAGCAAGCGTAATTTTCTTTGTTAGCTGAATGTTCCCGTAACAACAGCAACTGTTTATAACCGCCAGCATGATGGCGATACGTATAATTCGGTTTCATTTCGGTATACCGCCCCGCCGGCATCGCGTTGGCAATCGCAATAACTATTACTATCTTGACACTAATTATTATTTTTCCCTTCCGGCTGTTTCATTTATCAGCGGCGACCGAGTTTCGCCCGCGCGTCGCGTTCGTTAAGTCGCCGTCCAGCCGCGTCCTAAACGTGCTCGCACGGCCTGTTTTCTTTCAATTATCCTCGTACCTTTCTTTCCCCGCAACTTTTCCGGTTTTGTGCTTGTCTCAGAATTATTTTTTTACGTACATCTTATTACATACATTTTTTGTGCGGTTTTCGGGTGGTTTATTGGCTTGTATACTACGTAAAAAAAAGATTTTTCTGTTGTAAGAGGAAAAGTTTGTAATTTCCGAAGATTTCAGCGCTGGATTGAATTTTTTGTTGATGTTAGATTGAAAAACGCAAACATAATGAACAAATATTGAAAGTTTTGCGTTCGCGAACGGCGATTTTCAATATTTTCAACATATGAAGCACAATTTTTCTCCTCTCGAGGGAAATTCGATTGGCAATTCGTGGGTCGGCTGTTGTTGTGCATCGGATTGCTTTTGAAAATCATTCTTTGCTGTCGCATTCATTGTACGAGTATTGTATACCTAGGACATATTTTTCGATTAACCACTATTTTATTCTCGAAAATAAAAATAAAAACAATTTTTTTCTTCTTTGCAAGATTTTGTTTTTAATCGTGACGAATTCAATTCAATCTGCTTGCATTCCACTTCACTTTCCACCCACTTTTCACTCAATTTTTCCGTCCGCCACTCGAATATATCGGCGTGCTTAGCGGCGGCTTACCGCCTCTTACCGTCTCCGCCTTGTCGTCACGAGGATTCTCTAAGTAAACGAGTTGCGGACTATTTCACGCCCGAGCAGGACATTTTCACTCGTCTTGAACGATTGCTCGATGAAACCGTCCGAGTGCGTGCAAATCCCACCATAAATAAAAAACGAAAACAAAAAAATACTTTTTTTACGCGCCACATTTCTTTTCAACGCTAATGTTTTTGCGACGCAGTGAAGCCGACAAAGATTAATTTGTTTGAATTTATTAACTATTAGTAACATTTCTTTTTGCAGGTGTGGGCATTTTTGCTGCTAGCCACCTGCGCGTACGGCAAATCATACTTTTGCGAACGTGGTGAGCAATACTTCAACCACGAGCTACAGCAATGCGTCGATTGTACGCGATGCAACGCCACCGTCGGACTAATTGTCCTGCAACCATGCGAGATCCACCGCGATACAGTTTGCGGTCCGATCAGCAAACTCGTCGAGGGTATCCGCATACGCCATCAGAACCACCATCAACACCACCCGCACCATCCGCATCACGGTGTGCCTGATGACGCGTCCCGCGGGCGGGACGCCAACACGCAACCGGCCCCGTTTAACAGCATGGAGGCCATCGTCTGGGACTGGCAGGCGATTGCGCTTACGATGGCTGTCTTCACCTGCATTCTCTTTTTTGTCATCATCACATTGTACTCCATGCATCAGGCTAAGCAATGGAGACGATTAAAAGAGAATTTTGATTCAGGTCAGTATTTTTTTTAATATTATTATTATTATTATTTAAAGTAAATAATTGAAAGCTTAAGGGTAATTATTCATTTTGTTTTGAATGAATGGATTTATCTTACGAGTACAATCAAAGGGCGTTAACAAAGTGAATTATAGCGGTATGTGTGTGTAGTGTGTAAATGTATGAGCATCGAAGGAAACTCGAAGGTTGAAAACAAAACAAACCGAGAGTGCGTTGCTGGATGTGACCGGAATGCGGTGCGACGGCGGCGACGCGCGGAAAGAGACCACAAGCGAATCGGAAGTGAATCCGGTGTTAATATGCCGCGCACGCAGCGCGCCGAGTGGAATATTTATTTCTATATTTTCTACTTTCAATGCCTACCATACCATACCATACAATACCATACAACTTGGAATTGACCAGAAAACATTAAAACACTGTGTTGCAAACCGATATCACCACTAAAACAATCTCGTAAATCACGAATTCTAATAATGAACATTATTGACCTGAATTTCCTAAATGGTCGCTAATATCCGAATTAAATCATTCAATAGCATCAGCAGAATTTCTATGCAATTAAACAAGTTATTAAATTTATGCGCGGTTCAAAGTAAAAAATGTTTTTTGATGCGTTTTAGTTATGATAATATTTAGTAAAGTTTGGTTCTGCACACACAATGTTGCGACTTACGACTAAACGCTGTGTAGTTTGCATTCAAGGCGGTTGTATTTGCTTGTTCCACATTCATATTCAAGCACCTTATGCAGGTAGAAACGTCAGATAACATCAAAATATGCTTCAAGTTGCATAACGATTACGCGCATGAAATATACGCGCATGTACTCATAAAATATTTAACTTTAACTTAAAATAACATTATAATTATTTATACAAACAGAAAATTTCTGCTTGAAACGGTAACTTAATTAAGTTTATTTTTATTTTTTGGACTTACTATTTGTCAAATAATTTATTAATACTTGTATTCAATTAAAGAAATAAGAAATGCAAAAAAATTAATTTAGCTCCATCTAGAATCAAATTGTACAACTTTAACTATGATTGAATCACCATTTAAACTTTCATCCCTTATTTTACACCCTACAAATTATATTTTCGTAACAAAAAGTAGCTTATTTGCTTTTTCTCACTCATAAATATTTCCGCACCAAAATTTATCAAAATTAGTTCAGAAGTTTTTGCGTGAATGCGTCACAAACAAACAAATATTACTAAATGCACATTTAATATATAACTCAGTATTTAATAATTAATTACTTTCGTCGTAAATATAGTTTTTGAAATTGGTTTTGGCTGAGTTTAAGTTTAGAGTTATTCGGAGTTATTTATAGGGCAACAGCGTCAACTATTTGGTTTATTTCTAGCGTGAAATAATATTCTATATTCGCTCATATTCGCAACTGGTCGAATATTGCGTTCGGCGAATGTTTACGATGTTGGAAGCGGTACGAGTCGAGCGCTTCGAAAATGTTGCCTTGGGATGCACAATGCCGACGCTGACCGAGTAAGGACCTAGCAAGGATGTTCATTATAAGCGTACTAACTAGTTCTAGAATATATAGAAACCAAACTTTAATTTTGTACAACGCAAAAGTTTCGCTCACCGTTTTAATCATGTTCTAAGTAGTGTAGTAAACTAATTCATACAAATTTGTTATTAATTTAAATAAATAATAATTTTTAAAATAATGATTAACTGAGTGACAAGACAAGAAGATTTGAATGAACTAAATTGTAGAATCATTAATTTTAATGCGTTTTTGATTCGCACACCAACTGCAAACGATTGACGCTGATAATCAATTTAATTCACGTGGGTTTTATGATTATATGATCATGATTGATTGATTGGTTGACACTTTTATGTATTGAATTATTAGATTATTAGTTTTTTTTCTGTGACAGCTCAAATTAACTTTCGATTACGATGTGGGTAATTGAACTTTATATCGTTAGTTACCTACCACTGCAAACTTTCGATAATTCAATTAGGCACGAAATGTGCCAACGCACGAACATTTTCATAATTGCGACCTAGTTCCAATGCATTAATTAAGTTAACAATGCACGGAATGCAAAAAAAGTAGTAGGTATACTAAAATGTTAAAATGTAAAATAATAACGATTTATTAATTTAGTGAGTAGATTTATGCTTAAATTGATACGCAACACTGTCACTCTGTCATATCATGACGTGGTTAAGATGGTTGATGCGCGCGCATTCATAAACGACATTTATCTTTATAAAGAAAATTGTTTTGCGTACTGTCCTAGCGGAAATCACGATTTTCTTCATAGTAAAGTGGCGTAATTCATTGTTTTCCCCCTTTTTTAATGAAAAAAACAAATTTTCCTAAATTTTTAAAATTTTCAATATTTTAATATTTATTCTGATTTTCGGGATGAAAACAAATTGATAAAATCAAAAATCATAAATATCTGTTCTCTGGTTCTGAAATTTTAACTAGCGTAATACTACCGACTTTTTAGCTATATAAATTGAAGAATTAATTAACTCCACTCGAAAATCTTAGAATTTCCCACCAGAAACTACCGCAATATAAAAATAGCTATATATTTCTTGGAATGACAATTTTTCGTGTTTTTTTCTTGCCTTTTTGTAAGTATGAGGATGTCGCCCGTCGCCGGGAGTCGACGATTCGTCGCTCCATTTAGTAAATTGTATCTTTCATACGCTAGCTTCCGGATAAGGAGGATGTGTGCGAGTAGTTACAGCTCGCCTCGCTTGTTGCATTTCCCGAATCTCCGATATTCCTTTTCCATTCGTATAATGTTTCTAGTTTTCCACTCGTTCCGCCGTTCCACTCGCTGCTTTTACTATTTTTCTTCAAACCCCCGAGCGTCTGCAGCGTTTTATTTTCGCCGCGCGTACTTTTTCTCGATCGTTGCTGGCATGGCGCTCGCAGTAATCGTAATAATGGCAATAGGAAAAAGACTGCGCGAGGCACTTTCATATCGTTTATTATTTGACCTTTTTTAACGCGCACTGTGCTTACAAACACGTTTTATTCATGATCACAATTTATTCAGCTTTGATTCTCACTTTACTCAAACATTAACTGCAACTTTTATTTCAACTCCAACTTGCAAAAAAATTCAAACATCGGATCAAACGAATATGTCGCATGTTGCAACTTTTTGACATCGCGGAACGCGTTTTACATATCACACCTTTTAAACATTTGTTTTATTTCACGCTGTGCGAACTCGTACGAACTTTCGGGATGAAAAATGAGGGTGTGCATATCGGTGTGTGTCATTTATTTATTTTATAGTTTTTTTTTTGTTGTGCGTGTTAGCGAGAGAGGTGTTTTCGTGCAACGCGTGGTGTTCATATTTTATTCGGCATTTTCTGTGTGAAAACGCCGACACCGACAAAATGTAACAGGCGACATCCGACTCCTACACTTTTACTATTTTTTTACAAACTAGGGTTGCCAGAGGGAGAATTAAAGCTTCAAATTTAAAAAAAAGCATTGAAGTAGTTTAAACTGCGCAAGCGCAGAACTCTTAAGGCTTAAGGCTCTTAAGTTTTTTTAATATTTTTCGTTTGGTAACCTATCAATATATACCCCCTTGGCATTTCAAGAATCCTAGTATCCAAGTTGAGATGTTATGCACACCAGAATTTGACTGTCGGCGTTTCTCACTCGATCGAGTGGTCGGCACGTAATCTTTTGATGTTTATTTCTGTCAAATTTACGTAAATCTCGCCCGGCCTAGACGACATACAAGCACTATCCGGAGAGCCAACGTATCTGAAATATTTCACAAGCTTTACGAGCGTTCGCATGTTTCACGACAAATTATTCCATGCATTCCGCCGGCAATTTCTGTGGTGGTCGGCGGCTAAGTGCATTTTATTGCGCCGGCCAGTGAGGAAAAATGATGGAAAAATGATTTTAAGTACAGATAAACTCCGACCGTAAACTCGCCGTCGCCGATTTGAAAGTAAAATTACTTTTAAATTAGAAAAACAGCAAATGCTCATAACAAAAATGCGAAAGAAAAATGAAGAAACGAGGAAAATTAAAGCAAAGAAAAAAATAGATGAAAAAGAGCAGTGAACACAATGGCGTCAGAATAGGGCGGTAGGGAAAAAGTCCGAAAAGAATGAAAATGAAGTAGAAACGAATTTATTATGATTAATTATTAATGATAGCGCCGGAAAGTTTGCCACGCGCAGGGGCGGCGGGAAAAGAAAGAGTGAGAGTAAGAGTATTAACATTTACATTAGCATCGGCATTAGCATTACGAGCGAAAACTTCCACGAATTCGAAAAAGGTGCAGAAATACACGAAACGAAGAAAACAGAACATTCAGTAAACATTCACAACATTATTTTACCTTCAGAGTAAGTTAATAATAACTCAGTTAATAATTAAATCAATAAAACTATTTTGTTTAAAATTCAATTTAAACCGAAAATTTAATTAAACTTAACACCTTGTTGATTTTTCTCAAAAAAAAAAATCAAAAAAGGTTGCTGTCGTGTGCACCCTTAAAATTAGAGCAGTGGCACAGTAGGTGCAAGACAGCAGGAGGCGGTGAAGGAGGCACAAAGCAGCAACCGAAGGACGACGATACTTCTTCCGAACGTCCTAACGATATTATTATACATCACGGCGCGCCAGGGGGCGGCAGCGACGGGCAAAGCGGGCGAAAGCCGGCTAAGCAACGCTAAAAACGCGTCCCAAATTTAATATGCACCCTTCTCGTGAGTGTATCAGCAGGTGGACGAGCTTGCTCGGTGTAAGATCGCTTCGAGAGGGCGTTATTACTTATTGCTTGCTTACAGCCTGCTTTTTGCAATTTTTGCCTTGTTTGACGTAGGATCTACAAGCGGATAGAAAGTAGAAACACTTTCTTATAAAAGATTGTTAAAAAGTTTATGTCGTTAATTTTTAATAATATTTTGTGGGTGAAAAAAGATTATGAATAAATTTTTCGTATTAAATTCTTTCTTATTTACTAGAATTTTTCCTGAGAAGAAGTTAAAAACATGAATGACGTTAACACTGTAAATTGACAGAGGAATATTAACACAATTTACTGAATTACTGCAGTCATCTTACAACAAAAGTAGGTTAAGAATTAACCTCAAAATTTAATTTTAATTTTTATTTATTTGAATTTTTTTGATTTATGAGACCAAAAATTAAAATATTTATTATACTACTGCAAAATTGTCATAACTTTTTAGTGCATGGTATATTTGCGCGCATTTTTAAGGATTGGCGAGAAATAGATGATTTATGTGTTTATATTCCCCTGACAAATTATACATTGCACATTTTTGCATTCTGTTTTGCATTTTTTGCCGCACGATAGCTTATTTGTCGATGCAATTTTCGTCGCGATGGCTATAAATTACGCTTTACGGTGTTTTTTGCCGCCTCGTCGCTAATTTGACGAACATTTGTTTCCATTTGCAACTTTGCACCAAACAAACAAGCTGTCATCTCATATCACATATCTCATTGCGCGATGAAACATCGTTCTAAATTTAACTGCATCTGCACTGATTTTCGTCATCAGATCTAATCACACCAACCAACCAACCTACTTATATGTCAAATACGTCATTTAGATTCCTTATTTAAATTTAAAAAATGCTAGTACTGAATTTTTACACTAAAACTTCATCCCTTATTTTATTCTCTTGAAATTAAATTTTTGCGACAAAAAGTAGCTTATTGCCTTTTCCACGGTCAAAAATATTTCTATACCAAAATTCATCAAAATTACTTCAGTAATTTATGCATGAAAGAGTAACAAACTTACATTCGCATTTATAATATTACTTACAGCGCTATAGTACACAAAAATCTGCGTATAGGTACTGTGCATGATATGCATCAGATTTGATTGAAATTTGATAAAATATGTTCGCGCGCCTTTTTGGCTTCATAAAGCTTTCATTTTGTGCGGGCGGCGCGCCGCGACCGCATGAGTAATGAGCAAATAAACGTGTCATCAATAACGCGTTACGCCGTTCTCGGTGCACGCTGCACATCGCACAAAATGCGTCGGCGTTGTGTCGTACAACCTGTACAACCGACACCCGCTCTAACCACAAAACTCCAATTTGAATAATCCATCACGTTTTGATAATCATCTATAAATCATTAAAATAAACTTTCCTCGACAAACAAACAAACAAACAAACATACTAGTTTTACTTATAAATCAAAGTAAATATTTAAAAAAAAAACAATCCTGTTGCATAAAAAGGAGGTTATGAAACAAATTACAGGATATGAGCACAACCGAGGTAACTCTGTGCGTTAAAAACAAATAATTACCATTTTGTAACTCATTACTACGTGCATGTCACGCGTCTAATAAATTTCGCAGTTACAGCAATTGTTATTCATTGCTAATTAATACACATTACACACTCGCTGCAATGCAATACGCGATTTTCTGATGCGTAACACACGTACTGTGCAATTACGATTGTAATTTCACAATACGCTTTTTTCACTCATTGACAATTTACGCCCTGTTTATAAACAAAACAAACAAAATGAAAATCAACGTGCAACCCTACACAAATTGCAGATTATTATCAAAGTTCAAACGATCACGTTTGCAAGGAAAACAACAATAACAACAATAACGAAACGATAAAACAACAAAACAGCGATCAGGTTAACGGTAATTACGCCCCGCGGACACGCACTAACAATGTTTAATGTTTACAACATTATTAGGTTTATAAATTGAGATGAAAATTGCGAGGCTTGTTTATTTTTGAGCCCTGAAATAATTAATATTTACCCAGAGATAAGTACGCGTAAGTAATCTTATAAATTGCGCCGTGATGTGGAGTGACGCTGACGAGATCACTTCACATGACGTCACATCAATTCAAATTGCGGCCGTGGAACAATTCGTCTTATTCGAGCTAATGCGATCACGATTTGAATATTTGAATGTTTGAATATGCAAAAGCCTCAGCAGCTCAGCGCATAAGCACATATCTAAGAAAATGTTGATTCAGGCGGTCTAAATTTAGTTACATAACACGATTGCGGGATATAATAGATTACTGAACTGCTTTAGCAGCTAACTTACCGCTCTTTGCTGTTTTACGGGATATTCTCGATTGGAAATCTTGGAATTCTTCAATTTGGTAGTAAAAACACCGCCACTATACTAATTTTTATGTCGCATAGGAGGTTAACTTGCTAGAAGATCATGCGCATGCGCAGTTGAGATTTGCATGTATTACAAAAGCAGTGAAACAAAAACTAAGAAAATAATTGAGTATAACACTGATTTAGTACGTAATTCGTCGTTTTTTTTTTATATTTTAACGAAAATATATAATTCTAAATCTTAATGCTTCAATTACGAAATAGAAACAATTTTAACAACAGATCTGGCGCATGCGCCATTGAAATAATGCACGTATATAGCTTTACATTTCTTTTTCAAAACATAGAAGTCGATAGCAGCGCAACCTACACTGTGAATATAAGAACTTAGTAAATCTGTTTATAAAACGTTTTTTGCGGAGAATATCAATAAATCTAAAACTTATAATTCTTATAACTGCTTATATTAGTTTTATGTCAAAACTGAGGTTACTTCAATGACACACCAAGCGCATGCGCAGTTGATATTCGCGAATATACACTTTTTCAAAACATAAACATCGAACTCGCAAGCTGCGAAACGAAAACCAAAGACAACTGAAGCAGAAAACTTCACAGAACCGTTGAACAACATGATAACCAAAGGAAAGACGCAAGTCGAACGGATGGAACACATTGAGACAAGCCTGCTAAGGCAGGCGGCACGTGCCACATGTCTGGATCATGTGTCCGGATGGACGGGTCTAGTGACTGGATAATGTACACCACCGATGCGCACGGTATGACTCCATAATAGGCCCAGACTCTCGACATTGAACGACATCTTAAAACAACATCCCAGAAAAATACACACAAGAGTTTAACCAGTGGCGCCCTCATTCATTATATTCATGAATGTGATGCACCCGGCTAACATATTGTACATACATCAATATGATGTGAAATTGGCATGCGGCACGTGCACGTCGGGCGCAATGATTAATTGCCCATCATTAATGATTTTGCTCGATGTTGATGAATCGCATGCGAGCGTCGTTTCATGTTCGAAGGGATGACCGTGACCGCGAAACACGGGATGCGAAAATGCGAAAGGACGATTCGACGACGGAATCCTAACCGCACCCGCCGGCACGCAACCATTTCCGGTGATGGCGATGGCAAAATACAAAACACTTCATCCAATACAATGGGTTACGAGTGATTATTGACAGTATGGATAAGGTTTAACAATGTGTAAAGCGTTTTTATCATTTTTTTCATTTTTTTATTGAAATTTATTGCTTTTAGCTGTATTTCCCTTTGAAGTCTAAGTGTTTCCACACGTGTAAAGTGTGAATGCGACGAATATTAATGCAATTTCCATCTTTTCGAAAAATGCCTTTCTGAAGCGCACCCGATCAGCTCCTGAACATCTTAAATTCCACGCCGAAATCTCTCACGTCGCGCACGTTTCGAACACGTCAAACACCCATCCCCAACCCTCGATGTGAGGACTGAACCCCTTTTCGAATTCGCCTCGGGCGATTCCCAAACTGACGATCCATTCACGAGATATATAGAGATAAACGTATGCACGAATATTATTAATAGTCGTTTGGTAGTCGGTGGCGTACGGTAAAGACAAATTAAACGCCCACCAGTGAAATACACCGAAGGCAAGCGAACTGCTAGACGATGAAGATGCGCCGACGATGAAACGCGCCTATAAATAGCACGACACACACACACACTGCGCACGTGCAATAACCAAGTAAAGCGAAAGCTAAGCGTAAATGAAGACAAACTAAAAAGGGCGTTTAATATATACGCATATACACGCAATTATGATTTATACAGTCTGTTACTAAATATATTCATGATGAATATAATCATTTATAATGCCATCTGGTGGGTGGTAAGGGTTTTGAAACATGGGGTATTTCATTGCTGCATGTTTGGTTGCAGTGTGGTTATTCAAAAAATGTAAATGCACATCATATTACACGCGTTTTACATGTGTGCATCTTTCATCTTTCAAGCAGCGACTTAAAACAGCAAACGTTAATAGGACTAAAATTAAAATCAGTTGGAAAAAGTGCCGCAAATTCCGATTTAACATCGTTTCGCACTTAGATGCATTAAAATCAAAGAGAATCTTAAAAGTTTGCTTTGTAGATGAAATTTTCAGGCTAATTATTAATTTTTAACGACTTTTTACGAGTGTATTCTTGTGAAATATAAATCATACTTACATAAATCACGCGCAGATTTATGACGACAAATAATAAATCAAGCGAGTGTTTTTTTAAGCGTTTTAATAAATTTGTAAAGTTGAGAAGTAATGTATGAATGGTTGCATACACTCTGTAAAGATTGCACACATGTGCTTTTACTGTGAATGAGATTCACGAGCGCAGAAACGCGTGAAAATGTGACTAATTTATGGAATTCAAGATGTAATTTATTACTGTGAGTACATTAAGTTATATTACTTTATTTTACACTCAATTTATTTATAAAATATAAAAATATGTATAATTTTTTTATGTTTTTCGAAAGTATATTTACAGTTTTCTATTTTTAGTGCATCATAACCTAACTTTCTGATATCATAGGCAAATATGATCAATTTTATGTCTGCGGCTGCTGTGTTGCCTACACATTTGCGGTTGATGTGCTCGTAACTAACATGTACAAGATTTTGTCTGGCGTTGGAAACGAAGCACGAATGTTTTGAATGTGCTGCTGCTGCTGCGCGAAATATGAAACATCTTCAGCAAACTTCACATCTCGAGCATGCTGTGCATGGCCTCGTGTTACTTACATGAATATGTATGCTATTCACGTATAAATATCAGCAATGTCAACCTCAGATGTTCACCGAAACAAAAATACGCAGAGATTTTTTTATTAAAGCGTTGTAACCTTATAATTAATAAGATACAATTAATCTAGTGGACTAAGTTAAGACGTAATTAAGACGTTTTCTATGTTGTCTACCACAGGAAAAACAAAGTCGAAGAAAAATGTGGACGTGGAGATAAACGAGCGAAATTAATTTGCCACCAAATGCCAACTACTGATGCCACTACAAAATAAAAGTTTCTTTGCTTTGGTGCAAAGATGTATGAGATTGAAGGAATGCAGAACCAAAAAAAAAGCATGAAATTAAGTGTGAAATTCTTAGTTTAATATTCCAAGAATTTCCAGACTAAACACTAATTAGTAAAAACCGCAAGAAAATTAAATCTTATTAATTTCTTGTCAATGCGCACAGCAAAAAAACTTTGGACAAAGTTTAGAAAGTCGCAAAACGAAAAAGTTCTAATAAACGCCTGCCAAACGTGGACTTTTTTTTCTGCGTGAAGCACACGCGCAAATTTTTGGCATTTCTAATCATAAACTTTGCCAACTTTTTCAATTTTAATTATTACAACCTGAGAAAATTTATAGAATCCGCTTAAATTAATTTTTAGCGATTTATTTCGAAGTGAAATTGATTATAAGATGATTATTTTATTGTTGAGAACGGTGAGAGGTTAACGAGCCGGCCGAAATCACAGGCAATCATCAGTCACATTTAAACAAATGTACTTCAATAAATCCAGCGCGCAGCGACTTCAATTGAAGTGGTTCACGGACGACGACTTCTCGACGTTAACGACATTAAATAAAACGACTTGTAAACCTAAACCAACAGCGAGAACATCGGGCATGCTCAACGCGTACAACAATAACAATCACCCACCAGTGGAAAATGTTGCAATACGACCAAATACAGATAGTATTTTTATGTTTAACTAGTTCACAAAAGAAAAAATATGCCATATGGCGTAGTTTTCAATAAAAAAACAAATAGATTAAATTCTTTTACGGAGTTTTACATAAGAATATTAACTGTACTTGACACTTCGACTTGATTTCGAATTAATTCACGCGATAAATCATGCGAACAGCACGACACAAGACTGCCGGGTGTGCGCCGCATCGTGAATTTGAATTGTGGCTGGAAATATACATATTTTAATCCTTTCACAGAAAGTTGATACCGGCTTAGAACCAGCCGGCTGCGAGAAGATTTACCAAGTCAGCGAGCGTTCGTCACGTGTCACGTCGTTTTGACGTGTTTGAATGCTAGTTTCGAACACGACTGACTTGAAAACGTTTTAAATTGTTTCAAAATGTTGATTTATGTTTTCATTTGAGGTTAGTGTAAGGTTAACTAGCTGCATGATGATGTGATCAATGCGAAATGTTGAAACAGTCGCATGTGTTTGTTCTAAGTTTGTACATGACAATTTGACAATTAGCTGAGGTTTGTGCAAATCCGACGTTTTCGCTCGTACAAATCCAATTAGATGTGCAAATGCAGACGTCGCAGCTTCCCGGAAAGGGGAAAATGCAGGAAGGCAAAATCATTTCCTTGACAGCGGACGTGTTAGAATCAGATAATTAGTTTAACTAATTTATCATTAGTATTTTCTAATAAATTTAATATTTAAAGCAAATATTTGGAAAAATTTACAAAATTTTACTATATTTTATAGTTTGAGCTATAAATTGTAACCATAAGACAACGGAAAATGTTGGAAACTGTTGGGAAATGTAAACTAGAATATACAACCGTGACAGCTTGAAATATACACTCTCAAGGACCATAAACACAAATCAGAATAGAAATGACAAAAGGAATTGCACTCGCGACTCAATAAAAAGCAAAAATATACTTGCACATAACCTACAATCTAACCTACTTATATAAAGTAAGATTCTTAAAGTTTCAAGCAGCCAATTAAAAACGTTGTTTGCATTGCAGCAAAACTAATAACACAGCGCTGTATAATTGTAGCTAAATTCGCTGAAATTAGTCAAAACGTAGTAAAGAGTAATCCGCACAATTCAACAGAAAGCTGCAACTCTTGACTTGTATTCTAAATTCAGAGTCAACACAGTTTTAGCGTTTTCGCGTTTTATCTTTGCAAAGGATTAAAACTTTAATGAGTATAAATGTTGCCACACTTTCCTACTCTCTCTCTCGCTTTCTGCGGATGTTAAATTTCTTTGCCAAAGATTTTGTGTGTCGCAAAAATGGATTAAGGTGCGTGAAACATATTATAATGCAAATACGGTGAATTATAGCGCGTGAATTATGAGAATTTTAGGTTAAACTGCAATAAATTTGAATTTTGGTAACAAAAATAAGATATTTTTAAGCCTGTTCATCCGGGAAGGAACAAATAAAGCTATCAATACTGAAACGTATTAAATTGTTTTCGCAGTCTTGTTTTTCGAGCAAACGGCGCAAAAAAAACGCGCCGGGAGTTTGGAAAATGCGCTCGACGCGTGCTACTGAAACTCAAACTTTCTATAAATATCGTTTTAGTGTTATTACAACCTTCAGGCGTCGAGAATCCGGTGCGCAATGAAACGAATGCGTTTCAATTGCGTCCCAATTGAAACTTTTAATTTTCCGTAACATTAATCGATGCCAAACAAGACATAATTCTATTTTTAAACCTATGCTCAATATAGGCAACATACTAAACATGTATACACAAATAACCTTGTTTTAAAGTATATAAAACTTGTTTTTACGTTTAATTTCTGCAATCGTATATTTGCCAAAATTAGCCCACGTTTAAGTGGCAAATATTTAGCAAATCGCACGCTCGGTGCTCAGGAATTTCGCGGAAAACACGTTGTGCAACGCGTGCGAATATTTATTATAATTAGAAGCGCATTTTTGCAAGGCTTGCTCTAGTTTCGGCGCTCGCCTATTTTCGCCGCTTCGATCAGCGGGAATTGTATGCAATCGAACAGCCAAAACGTTGCAATTGCGCAAAACTAACACCACTGGCGGATGGGAAAACTGTTTTGACGTGAAATATAAACAGGATAAACAATGCATGTCGAAAAATGACAGGATAACAGGAAAACATGTAACACTTTTGCGTTTTAGATTAAAACATGTTTTTTCGGTGTGGAAAATCAGGAATTAATTGGATATTGAATTGCAGCGGAAATTTTAATTGGAAAATTTTGTTACAGATGTCGAAGAACTTTCGGCACGGCTGAGTCTAATGGCGGCCAACAGTCAAGAGAAGGGGGAGGTTTTGGAACCATCGATGGGGCCCATAAGGGATGCCAAAAGCATCAAGAATCGATGCATGTATTTAGAACAATTAATTCAAGGTAAATATAAGAATTGATTAATAAAATATGCTCAATAAATCGTATATATAAATTATAATTTATCCAAACGCTATCTGACGTTGAATTATATAACTATAAATGCAATTGATCACCTATATATACTTTTAAACTCAATTTTATGTGTTTTTAGTATTATTATCGTGAAAAAAGTAGTCAATAACCTTTTCCAAGATATAATTTATCTTTACATCAAATTTTATTAAAATTGGTTTTATAGTTGAGGCGTGAACTGAAAACAAACAAACAAAAACATTAAAAAACTTACTTTTGCAGATATAATTTTAATACAAAATAACTTTTATGATGATTTTCTTGTTGCAGTACGCAAAGAGAAAAATCCAAACATAGAAACAGGTAACGTCTACATCGAGGAATCTCCATCAACGGGAAAACCGACATAAACGAGTCTTTCACGACTTGCTCCGTGCGTCATTCAGTGTTAAATGTTTTAACCAACAATGATCAATGTAGTACCATAAACTCGGCCATCAAAATTAAAACCAACCAATAATATCAAACATAAATAAATGTTTTGCAAGGAAAAATTGCAAGGAATTAAAATTTAAACAAAACGACCATTACTACTTGTGTAATTTGTTTGTAAGCAACAAAAGTGTAAATAATATTCGTAAAAACTTGTATAGTAAACTGTAGGAGATTTATTAATAAAATTATTTATTATGTTTTAAACCAAGGTGGCGAGAGATGTATTTTAATTTAACTTATCAACCGCATACTAATATCGCAAATGGAGTGTAAATATTATATTATATCAAATATGGGTTTTATTTGTAAGCTTAGCATTAATTTCGAATTATTTATTATTTCGCGTTTGGATAATAATATTTAAAGACCCGCATATCGATGAAATGTCATTCGACCAGCATTTAAACCAGCATTAAACTATAACTATAAACTATAGTGCAGTCATATCAAATTACTGGTGTTATCATACGTATCCATGAATTTTGCTGGTTGGCCAGGAGAGTAGATTATTATAGCTTATAATAATCAATATTTATTTATTATCTTATCGATTTTCATATCACTTCTATATATAAATATAAATATATATAAAAATGGATTACGGTTTGTTAATCTCACTAAAACTAAACAAAAAATACTGCTGAATAAATTTTTGATTTGTTTATTTCAATATAACAATGATTTTATAGAAAAATGTTTGAAAACAATTAAAATTTAGCTAAAAATTTGAAAAATTAATTTGTTTTATAACTGAAGACTAGGAAAGAAAAATGAATTGAGAAACCTGCGACTGTCTGCTTAAACCCTGACCACCCTGGTTAGACTGAACACTACTAGCGCGCTGCGACCCGCAAAACATGGTGGGGGAAGTAGTACTGTGTGCAAAAGAATACGCAACCTGTAGATACTAATAAAACACTGAATAAGAAGTTGAAATTCAAGGGCACAGGTTTTAGATGAAACAAAAAAATTAGAGAAAAATCGTTTTTGTTAAAAAAAAAGTTTTACACTTCAATTATTGTTTAATTACTGTTTAAATTTTGCAATATCGGATATATTACTATAGCCACAACTACCAATAATTATTTCTACTACATGATTTTAATTACATCCAATATAAATATTTGCGTAGTCGAGGATAATTTTTTTAAAAATTTGATTACGCTTTAAATTTACTTTGATGGAGAATATATCAATAATGTAATTAATTAGTGCTCATTCGTGCGGTGATGCATTGCAGTCGCAGTCCGTTTGCCAAAAGCCCTCGGCAGCGTCCTCAGTTCGATATCGATAGTATTAATGCGCATGGCAAACGAATGCAAAATAAATGCAATTAATTAAACATGCATACATATATGTCATCGTAATCATGCGAAACACGCCATTGCACTCACCAACCCTACATACAAATTGACTTTACACCAAAATTAAATTAAACTTCATTCCCAGTAAAAATTTAATTTTAAATTTTAATACATCAAAAGTAAAATAATAAAATATTTAAATAATCGCTTCAAGTTTAACATTTTAACTATTTAACAGTATTAATTAAAATGAATGAAATATTTATTAAAGTGAGAATTAGTTACTGCGGTTGTTTGGATATTGTTAAATTAAATAAAATTCAATCAATTTTATTATTCGAGTAAATATTAGTGGTAGTTATTTATATGCTGATGGACCATTTTGCCATTTTCGCGATTTCTTGAAATCTTGAAATGCTTGCAACTTTATATCCGCTTAAATTATTAATACTAATTATCTACTTATTATAATACAAGAAAAAACTCTATTTATAACTATGCAAAAAATCTCAGCAAACTTTATACAGAATTACTCATATCATGAGAATCTACGACAAATAAATGTAATATACACAAAAAATATGTTGAAATATATAAGTACTTATCAAATTATATCAAATTAATGTTGCTATTATTAACAGTTACGGTTATTTAATTTTTTTATGTAAAAAGTATTGTAATTAAATTGTCACAGAGAAGATATGAACAGGAATATTTGTATTTATTGTATAAATTGTAAATTTTATTATTATTTTATCTTACTGAATGATTTAAGATGTAAAAATTTTGTTGATGTATAATTTTAGTATTATTCAATCATAATATTAAATGTGTTAAGTTGAATAATGAAATAAATTCAAATACCAACTCAATTTGTGTAATTTTTTGTACTCCCTTTGTTGAAAAAACAGTTTTTTCCGCTTTTAATATAAAATATTGTAATTTATAGTAATTTGAGGTTAGTTTTGAGCAAAATATAGAATTTACTTCCAAAATATAAACAAAAAGCTTGTACTTTTTATTTTATTTTTAACTTTGTAATCCGATGACTTATTGTTTTTGATTTTTATTATGATTGGTGCGTGCGAGCGTAAAAATCGCGCAATGAAGCAGAAAACTAAATCTGCGCGAACATTACGCGCACGATTTGCAGTTTCACAAGTCGCACGAGTTACGACGTTACGATTTGTGGTCCTTTCTTTGAAACCTACGAACTATATACGTCTACCGATAATAAAACAAAAAACGAGGTTCACAAGCCAAACTGCTTGAAACTCCCAAATGGAAATAACGAAAGAAAGAAACTTTGGCAATTGTTGCTTGTTTTGCTTTTTTGTATTTCGAGCGTCAGTTAAGAGTTAAGACTTACAGTTCCAGGAACGTTAAGAAATCGAGATCAATTTCGACTCGTTTCATAACTACTTACTCGTAAGTACAAGAAGGCACTATATTTTTTGAACTTCTTCAAGTTTTTCGTCTGGATTTCGATGTATTCTTGCTTTATTTTTTGGTAACCAACGCCTAGCATAACTTCAGTGAACGGATACAGAAGTTATTGAACTTCAAGTTAAAGTTTACGGTTTAATTTTAAGAAACCGCGCAAAAAGTTAATGCCAAACAAAAAGTTAAACAAATATTTGTACAAAAATTAAATTTCTGTGAATAAAGTGTTTAAGTAAAATGTAATTAAGTCGAAAATATCAGTTGAGTAAAGTTTTTGCTTATTTTTGAAACTTTTTTCGGCGAGTTTTCGAGAGATTTATCGTCTCGAAACGTCAATGTTCGATGCACACTATGTGACGAATGAAGGAATGAAGATTTAATGGAATTCAGCCGTCTGGAAATGTTTTTTCAACTCTTTTACTTATAAATCCAAAATAAAATCAATTGAAGTTAAAATAAGCAGAAAATAATTATTTTATTTATAAATAAAGCTAATAGTAACTGCAATTCATTGGTTTTAGATTAGTGATTGGTTATTTTTAACTGAAAAATGTTTTATTTTATTTTCCGCATTCGTTTCACAAGATACAAGACATTCGACACATTCGTAGCATCTTGCAACAGTCTTCGCAGCTTTCCAGACTTCATTCATGAAAATGTCGACAAGTTTTTGAAGTTTTGCCAACTTGTATACAGAGTAATTGAATATTATTTATATTTTATATATTTTGTATCAACAAAACACAGAAATAATTTATTAATCACAAAATTTAAACATTTACTTTTTATTCTTATTTTTCTGTCCTTAAAATTACATTTTGCCAACAAAACCTATTCTATGTTATTTTCCAAAGTCTTATTTATCTCTGTACCAAAATTCATCAAAATAAATTCAATAGTTTAAGCATGAAACATAAACAAACATATTTTTCAACAAAAATAATTTTTAACCACTCTGTATAAATATAATTATAAAATTATCCCCGATTCGATACAGAAATCCCAAACTAAAAATGACACAAATCACACCAATAAAAACCGTAATATGTTATGAGAGTTATAACCGTTTAATGAATGAATCGAGCATGGCATCCCGTCCGGAAATCATTAAGACCATTTGCTCGCACGCATCCTATTCAGATCCAGCACGCGTACCGAAACTCCGAATTAAATTCGGCAGATTTAGAAATATGTAATATGTAATCCCAACGATGTGGATGCGGCGCGACAAACAGAAATAGTCGGTGTTTCTGTGGTCGGCGCGCTTAATTTAAATCGGGCGCGTGTGCACGTCTTCCTAATCGCATTCAAATCCTCATAGCGCGACCAAAAGGAAGCGCAAAAAGAGCCGAAACAAAAAGACTCCATTCACATTCACACTCCGGCTCAGAATACCACCGCTTCTATTCTATTTTGATAGTATTTTAACTCTTCTAACTTTAGTTTTAGGCCAGTTATGAATGAAACTTCTGTTGTGATTATATTTATACTCATTTAACCCTTTTAAAAAGATTTTTTTGATTAAATTCTGAGAAAAGTTTAGTGAAAAGTAAAATTTTTAGTTTTTGGTTTAGTTTTACGTAAATTGTAAGATATTTTAGTAATTTTATGAGTAGTAAAAGTGTGCAGATGAAATTCTCTAGGTAAATGTAATGAAATGCGTCGGTGGAAACGGAAATCAAATTTGAAATTTATTTTCAGCACGTGCGTTCACTTTTACTCGACTTCTGTCGTAATATCTCGCATGGTTTGAAGTGTTTGAAGAAATTTTGATGAGAATTTCGCGCTTTACGACCGCCGACGCGTCAACATTCTGTTTTCTAATTTCACATATTGCGATTAGGCATGATCTCATGTCCATTAGGTAAATTACTACTAAATTACAATCATATCTCGAATTTTATAGGTTTTAATTAGACGTGACACAAAAAATAATTTTTACTTGACTTAATGTTAATTAAAACTGACTTTTCTTTGTTCTTTGTCAAAAGATGTTTATAAACCCTCAAAAGCATTATTAATACACACGTATTTCAGAATATGAAACATGTAACATTCAACAAAAATGCATCATTAAAATTTAACCTCAAAGAAAAGCGCGCACGAGCGCAACAAAACCGAATGCTAATAATACAGAGTAAGCAGACGTGCTCACAATATGCTCGAAACTGCTCATAATGCGAGCGCAATCATAATTAAAAACACACCACCGACGCACAACGTAGCTACAGGAAGAAAGGATTAAACACATTAAAGTATAAAACGCTCCTAACCTAAAAATGCAATACACACTAAGTATCACATCAGAAGTTAACAACGCAACGTAATTAGCACAATAATCGAGAGTAATTAGTTTAAAATTAACTTCTATCGAAGTAATTCAGTGGAAATGACACCGGAAGGATGTCATTTTTTTACTCGCACACTTATATTACTTCTATTTCTTTGAATAGAATCATTAGTTTGTCACAGAGAGTTTTTTTTGTTTTTCTTCTTCTTCTGTATTTAATTGCTGGTATTAAATCAAGACAAACATTGTACATGTATCGCATGTATTCGGATACACTTAATTCTATCTTTTTTCATTCGTAGTGATGCGTATGTTTCGAGTTAGTCGGAAAAGCGTAACGGGAACGTGAACGGAAGCACTTGTCGTTAACTTTAAACACCTGGCGACTTCTTTCTCCCTCTAGCTCTCCGCACAACACTCTATCATTTCAAAAATGTATGGTAACAAAGCGAAATTTGAGAAGTTCTCAACTGATTTACTTCCTTGCTTTCTTTCGGAGTTCATTAGACGCATACCGAAACGAATTCCATGTTTTCGACGCCCCCCAAAATGCGCTACTGAACTGTGAGAGGTGATTTTGATCTATTTCGTAGTCGAAATTTTGAAATACCTCCTCACGACATTCTAAACAAGATAAATCTACCATCGCTGAAATATTCCCACGATGTTTTCGTTGCTTCTACTTCCTGTTTCCTTCTAACCTCTACTTCCGGTATATTTTCTTGCAGTGACAACCGGAAATTAATTTTTGCACAACTGAAGCTAATCAATTTTGTTTCAGGCGGAGACTGTGCATACTGGGTTGCAACAAGTTTTGATTCGATTTGCGTCTTGACTGGAATCACTATTAAAGTTGGGTGGAATTGGTGGAGTCGAGTCGCGTTAAATTTTAACGAGCATTTTACAACTTTAGGCGCGCTAATTTTAGTCACAGCACTCTATTAAATCCGTGAACCCGAGCTCACGCTGCAACGCGAGCTTTTTTATGCGTCGTTACGTCGCTTGATCGCCTTCTAGGCGTCGGAAAAACTTTCAAAACTTTACGAGGGTTTATTTCTTTGGTAATGGACATGCGAGCGACATCTGGTGGCGAATTTTTAAACCAGTAATTTAAACACACGTAGTTTTCGGTTGAAGAAGTTGCATACACGCAAAATTACAAAAACTTCTTTGAAAAAACTTTTAAAACTCGTGTTAAACATGTTCTTTCTTTGATTTATACATGTTATTGTATGTTAATGTTTAATTTGCTACTAATAACACTAAATTGAACTAAAGAAATCAAATTTAAGGTAATTTCGATGTAATTTACGCGTTGTGTACGCGATTGCAACACGAACAAATTTTTGTGTTCAATTTGTAAAATCGTACGTGGAATTGATGCGTGCAGCAACTTGGTAAATCCTTTTATGACCGCATTACGGCACATTTTGACCTGAATTACAATAGGTTGGCACCGTTGCAGCCACAGCCGGAGCTGTTGGAAATTGTAATTGGAGTGGGATGACGACGACCTGCACACACAAAAGTGTGCCATTTGCGACCGACCGCACGAACCGAAGCCAAAAGCACTTCTTTTTCTCTGCATACACGCGCCGCGCAAGAAGTCAAACCCATTAGCAGGCTGCGCCTGACGCTCGGATGGCTAACCTGAATGCCAGCCGGATCGCCATCGTCGACTCCACGAGAAGAGAAACGAAAGGCAAGGAAAGGAGGAGAGGATGGACGCGCATCCAACGCGGCGAGACGCGAAATGTTCAAGCGTCCCACTTTTGGCTTCCAGGTAGATTGAGGACACCGACGGATGGCGCAAACGAAAGATACAAACACCGTCGAGAATCGAGAACGGCCAACAATCAGTTATTTATTACAGCGCTAAACCAATTTCCATCAGGGATTTTACTACGTTTAAGTACACTTAAATAGTAACTATTTCTGAGTAATTTACTACGGGATTTTAAGCTGGAAAAACCAAAAATCACAAAAGATGTGAAATTACCTAACTCCCATGTATACTTTGTTACATTTCATATAATTGTCATCCAAACACGCAATGATTTTGTGGAATTACTCAGCGAGCTGCGATCGGATGCGTTTTTGGTTTTGATTTCGAAAAATTCGGCCGTGCCACTTCTGTCGAGAGTACATTGCGTTGCGTTCGCTGCGCGGAGAGGAGAAATTAACCGCAATAACAGTTCATTTGGCTCGAGAAACCGCTACGTATCCCTATCCTGTCGAAATCGACCGACAAACGGCGCGACCTTATTACACGCCAGCGCATGAACACACTCGACAAGTAGCACATGTGGCAGAGTAGCACATGGACATCCGTGATCGAGAAATTCGAAAAAATACTCGTAATAATGCCGAAAGATAACCTTTGGCCGATATTCTCTGCTCGAAGAAAATCGAATTCAAATTATTCTGCTATGCATAGGTCGTGGTTGATTGCGAATTGAATTGCATACGTTTTTGAGGTCGTCGGTCGTCATCGATCAATCAACTTATGAAAACTTTTAGTTTCATTCATGTCATAATTTGCATTCGCAAATTCAAGCATATATTTATTGTATGTAGTTGGAGAAACCTTGAAAATGTAAAATTCTATGAATTATGTTTAGGGTGGCTGTAAAATGGAAATTATTGCCAATTGTATGTGTTGTAAATGGTTACCTCTACCTGGAATTGATTTGGGTGCTGAGGGGTTGAATTTTTCGACGCTACTAATGATCCCTAGCGAGTCTATGCAAAGGGAAGACGGTTCGACAGGCCAGGTAGTAGAGCGGTGCGCAGGTAGGCGAGCGCGGCGCGCACTCGCACCCACCTCGCCTCCGCGCGTTGTTCCCACTTGGGCCCACAGGTCAAACCTGGAATGGCCGAAAAGCGGTCAAGCGATGCACAGGTGTTTTTACGAAGCGCGCCGCTTTCCAGTGTCGTCGCGCCAGCCGTGCCCGACGTGCCCGTTGATCCGCCAGCGGTCGCGCCGCATCGTATCGCCAAATTACCACACGTAAGTATGTATAACCTGCATATACCTGCACCATCCGATCCAGTGGATTTATAATTCAGTGCGTAATTCGAACTGCGTCGTTGTGCGAAATCACCTGCAATGCGTGAATGATGTCAAGTTTTTTGATGCATTTTTGGGAAGAAGAGTTGTGAGTGTTTTGTGTTAGCGCGGAGGCAGCGAAGCGAAGAGGAGCCCAGCTCTCTCCGGTTGGTGTTCGCAGCGAAAAACGTAAAAGTAACGTTACTTTTTTACCTGTGTTACCTGTCATCCGGACGCTGGCACGGCGCGTACCTGTCGGCGGGCGTTCCGTTGCTCGCGCGCTCGTGGATTTCCTTCCACCGCAGCCAGCTGCGATCCGATTCGCGTAACATTTCGGAATTTCTGATGTGCTCTCGTTCGCTGGCGGTTTTTGTGCCGCTGCTCCCGATTCGATCCACGATCTCCACGCAGTCCGCGGCCCATGCGCTACCGCCGAGTTGGGTTTGCACAACAACACAACAACATAACAACAAAGTGCACGACAGGCCGCGGACAAAAGTGCGCCGTTTTGATTCGCACGCATTCGCCTCCTCGTCGGATGTGTGTCGAAACATTCGCAACTGTTCGCAACAATAACACACAACAAACGCGCGCGATGTGATGTAACTAACTAACCAACCAGCCGCAGTAACCACGGTGTACAAATAGGTCACATTTTCCGATTTCATCTATACACGCGGCGCGTTTTATCCAAATCAAAAGTGTGTCACGCTGGAAATCTAACCGAGAACCGATTGCAGATGAACCCAGTGCCCGCCGCAGTGCCTTCCTCCAACAGCAGGTGACATGGCAGACACAGGTGTCCTCGAGACCGAGCCGGATTCAGGCACCAACAACAACAACAATGAAACCACCCCGACGTCCATGCAGACCGACGACGATGCCGAGCAGAACGAAAAAGTCACCAGCAATCAAAACTACGACTCCGGCGATGGCGGTCATCGCTGTGATTCGTGCGATTTCGAATCCGCAACCAAGGCGTCCCTCTCAGCACATATCAACCAGGTACATGGCAGCAAAGAAGCTGAGACTGTGGAGCCGGATAACAATAATCAACCGCCACCGGATCGACTGCATCGCAAGTTATTCGAGTGCGATGTGTGCAATATGAAGTTCTCAAACGGCGCCAACATGCGCCGCCATAAAATGCGACATACAGGTGTCAAGCCTTATGAGTGTCGTGTGTGTCAGAAGCGATTCTTCCGCAAGGATCATCTCGCCGAGCATTTCACCACGCACACGAAGACGCTGCCGTACCACTGCCCGATTTGCAACCGCGGCTTCCAGCGGCAAATCGCAATGCGCGCTCACTTCCAGAACGAGCACGTCGGCCAGCATGACTTGGTAAAATCCTGTCCACTCTGCAGTTATCGCGCTGGATCTATGAAAAGCTTGCGGGTGCATTTCTTCAACCGACATGGTATTGACTTAGATAATCCTGGACCTGCAGGGTCGTCGGCGTCTTTGTTAGCTGCGGCTGCCGCTGCGCAGCATGGATTTCCCTTGGATGGTGCACTGAGTTCGCTCACGGGGTTAAGTGTGAGCATGACGAGTACAAATTACAGCGACAGTGGAGACTCCACGGGCGCTAGATCAACGGATAATGCAACACCACCGATGCATTTTCTTACACCACATGTGGAGATTTCCATGGCGGACGCGCCTGCGCCGGTGTTCTCTCCAGCATTATCAGAGAATCAAAATTCTCAACCGGGGCAGAGTAGTGGTGAAGCCGAAGGGCGGTCACAGCGTGTTAATGGTGATTGTCCTGGATCACCCCAGTCAGGGGATTCAAACTCTAATGCACCTTCAAGCTCACTTAACAATAACCGAATGGAGCATGAAACCAGTATCACACCTTCAATCTCATTAATACCTATTAAACAAGAACCAGGGGAGGAGTTTGACAAGCGAAACGGGCCTGCCAACCTTTCAACATCACCCACTGGTAAGTTTACATCATAAAACTAACCCTAAAATAGTTTAAAACTTTGGTTATATTAATTTTATTGTTTTAGCTTCTACACAAGTGCAATCAGCGACATCTAGTAGTCTCACATCGTTGATAAAGGTTTCACCACTGAAATCTTTACTGCGTGATGATTTGAAACGAAAAATTGTCACACGGAGCAACACTAGAAATCGCTCGGCAGCTTCGCCTAGTGCAAATGCAAGCGGTGGTGAAGGAGCAGCAGATGCGGCAACCACGAACGGTGCTATTACATCAACAGGACCTGAACAACCATCGGATTCATCAGTGTGGCGTAATGTCGGCGGCAAGCGGCTGTGCTCCAGCTTGCAGTGCACTTACTGCGGCATCGCATTTCCTGATCAAACGCTCTATTTCTTGCACAAGGGCTGTCACTCCGACGCCAACCCGTGGAAGTGCAATATCTGCGGCGAGCAGTGCTGCAACGTCTACGAGTTCAACTCGCATCTTCTAAGCAAAAGTCACCAGTGACCACCGGGCGCACGATAGTACAATACTATTTAATTTTATTTATTGCTACAAACATAATGATTTGTTTGTGTTATTATCAAACTGACAATCGTTCTGTGAAGTCAGTACAAAACTATACGATTCAAACATTCCACATGTTCAATTATCTAATTAATTGTCGAAGAAAATGATCAAAACTTGCGAATTGATCTCTTAAAAAGACAAGATTTATACTAGGACTCATTTCGGTTGTTCAATGAGTGTTGCGATGCAATTATCTAGCAGCTAGTGATGGAAATACGTATGCCTTGAACGTGTTTCATGAATCTCAGACGGGTATTCATGGAGCATCCAAATGAATTTGTAAATAACACGAGAATATCTATGTTTATACTAAAATGGAAATGATCAAGACACCACACAACACACACAAACCACATATACACCTAGAGTGCCTATTAATGTGATCTAAAAATTGATGAAATCGACATTCCGTCCAAGTTTACAAAGATTTAAGAGAATTTACGATTTTACTATTGTTAGAAACCTAAAACTAAGAAGATGCTAAACTACTAACGATATGAATATTTAGCAAACATGCAAAATGCAACAGAGAGATATATCTAGACGTTAGTAGACACAAATATATAAAGATGAATATTTTATTAATTAGGTAAACTAATGAAATCTAAGCGAGCGCCTTAAAAATTGCTGAGATTGCTAGAAATCAATTGTTAACGTAGTGCGTAACGAATTTAATTAATAATTTATTTCTCGGCGATGCACACCGGCATCGCGCAAATGTTTTTAAACAACGCGGTGGCCGGCTGAATCGATGGCATTTATATTATACTCGCGACTTGTTAGACTTGTTAAGCCATTTGTTGCATTGTTTTCGTTCACATTCCACGACGCGTTGTTCGAATCGATTACTAGATGAATTTTCAGTTTTTATTTCGTCGTTGACGCGTGCAATATTTTTAACTGCACGTATTTTGATGCCTCAAGAAGCGACATTCCAGTTGTTTGTCGATATTGCATTGCATAGGAGAAACAAAACGATTATCGTGGGCGGTTGTTTTACTACAAATTAATTATTAAACAATTTCTATGTACGATTAGTAGCATTTATTTATTATTATTTATATTCTCACGCGGCGTTCGTATTGTTGTGTAAATTTTATTAATGATAATATTGTAAATTTCATTCGGAGCTGAGCGCTGAGAGAGATAATTTGTAACTTACCGGGTGATAGGGTTATTATAATTTCATTCTTCACTTTAATTCATCTTTTTTGAATAATTTACGTTTTAAGCAGGGACACACGCAGACGCAGTTCACAACCGTTTTCAGAATGGAAGATCAATAAAAACTGTTTCAAGAAATTCGTATTGTTCATTACTTAATCTGTGAATATTGTTACGAAAAAACTTTATTAATAATTACTTTGACAAAAAGATTAAAAACTAAAAACAATCATCTCCACAGTAGTTGGTTTTTAGTTAAGTTTATTCCTTTTTGTTTGTGTTTTGTTTGCCACAGTTTCAACAAACGTGTAAAACTGGTTGTCTATGTTACCTGCACACACAACCACTTCACTTCTTGTGTTTCTCCAATTCTTTCAACAACGCATCCGCTTCCTGTTCGTTCTTCACCCGCAGGAGCATCGGTACCGGCGGCGGCTTCTCATCCGGAAGCGGTATACACACCAACATAACATCTTTCTTGCCCATTCGCTGCGTTGGCACCGACTCGGACAAAATCAAATTACATAACAAATTACCCAAATTCGTATCAGCTCTAACAATAAGTTGCACCTTTTCAGAGTCGGGAATTTTCTTCAGATACAGATTACCGACCCCCCGATCACCAAAGTTGCCGTCTTTTTTGACGAAAACTTTACACCTGATTGTATAGATGTGTTCTTGTTCGACAACGGGCGTGAACTCGACTTTCGGCGGTTGGTCCTCGTCGTCTTCGTCCAGATTGATTGTTTCCGTTGGTTGGGCGGGTGTGGACGCAAACGCAGGCGGTTTATTCGCTGGTGTACCGAAGGCAAATGGCGCCGCTGGGGTGGACATTGGTTTCGATCCAAAATGTGAATTTGTCCCGCTTCCAAAAGCACCTGAAGTTATCGTTGATGTCTTGGACGCGTTCGCACTGCCAAATACAAACGTTGCTTTATCTTTATCCGCGTTTGTTTGACTCGTTACAGTCGATGATGGCGCACCAAACGGAAACTTATTATCGTTAGTTTTCTTGTTACCAAAGAGGGAAGTGTCACCGCCAAACATTGTTGGTTTATCCACTTTATCTTCGCTCTTTTTATTATCGGCTGACAAAGAAAATATTGACTTATTCGTGTTTGAAAACGCCGCAGATGTAGTCGTAGTAGTCGCAGTATTATTATCATTTGTTTTACTTGGGGATTTAAACGAAAAACCAACAAGTTCTTTCTTTGTTTCCGAGCACACACTGACGTGTTTCACTTCCAAGTCGGTCAAATACCGCTCGTAATCGGTAAAAATTGGCTTCAAATTGATGAATGGATTCTCCTTGACGTGTTTGTCAATCCAAGTAAGGACGCTTTCGTTGAGTCCTTTCAGTTTCGCGTAGTATTCAGTCCTGTCATCGCCGTGATCGTTTGTGTCTGCTTTCTTGTTATTTGAACCAGTTGAGAAACCAGCGAATGTGTTTGTTTTCTTTTCTCCTTTGGACTCGACGCCATTTGTGAGTGAAGATGAGAAAATGGACGTGTTTGATAAAGATGGTTTTGTTGCAGGTGGACTTGTTATAGTTGATGATGGTGGAGTCTTTACTGTGTTGGAATTGTTCAGAAAACTGAATGCAGCGTTTGGATTCGGTGGAGCAAACCCGGCGAAACCCGTAAAACCACCGAAAACTGGCTTTTTTGCTCCATCATCACCATTGCCCTGAAACAAATTTTGTTATAATTTTGACAGCATACAAACAAATCTAACCAAACTTATAAAAAATATAACCCAAGCTGTAGACATTATTTTTAAAATGATTTTCTCACAAAAACAGAATTAATTTCAAAGCAAACAATAAATTAGTTAAAACTTACTGTAGTCACTTCTGGATTCCGCCTTCTCGCGGTTTTAATAATTCGGCGCTTGAGTACATCATCAGACGCTTTCTGGAAAGTGCCCGCATCCTCGACATCATCATCGCGGTCCCAATTATCATGGTTTAAATCACTGCTCGCACTCCTTTTGCCAGCCATTTGCGTTTGAAATACCTTTTTAAGGCTTTTCACAACTGATCGCAGAGGTTATGTCCTCTACTCTAACACTTTATCTTTAAAAAACCCGCGGAAAACACGTATCCGCTCATTAAATTCACTAGCTACGCGGTTGGATTTATCTTGTATAACTTACGACACTTTGATATTGTTTGAAATCGCGTTGAGGTGAAAGTTTATTGCGAGAACGCAATATTTTTATTTCAGCCGGCGCGAATGTCAAAATGCAAACATGCTGTCAAAACGGGTATCGATTTAAAATTTATCGCAGAAATACATAAATAAATATTATTATCAACACATAATTATTACAAGTTAGTGTAGCTTGAATTACACATGATTAGTATCTTTTAATGAAATTAATACGCTGTAATACCACTTTGAATAGCATTTCATTAAATAACAATTTACAACCACAAATGACATTTATCGAACTGAAACAAAAAACAACGCCGCATTATGTTTCAATTTATTTATATTTCGTAATATAATCAAGTATAATGTGATAATTTCCTTCTTTAAATCATATTCCTGCATTTTATTCATTTCTACTCAAATTAATTGTTTTTTTTAAGTAAAACAGGAGATGTTTCAACACAAAAAAGTTATTTGCATAAATTATCATAGTAAACGCGTATATTTATTTATAATTTTCAATAATGCATCAATAATTATAATCTTAACATATTAAAATTCATTCATAATCGATGACTATGCACAAACGCGTACGAACGTTGCCTAACATTACATCTCCATCTGAACCACAAACACTTCAGCTTGTTAGTTTAAAAATAAGCCAACTTATCGAATCTGAAAAAGAGCATCATAAAACTAAAATATGTACAATTACAATAGCCCGCCTAGCGCGAGACATTTGTACTCCATAAAACGCATCTTATTTTCTAAAATTCTCCTCTCCAGATGCTTCATTTCATCTTTCCTTGAGGTTGCGTCAGTCCGAACTGAATGTGCTTCATGTGACACTCGACATTCATCTGGAAAATCGCCTGATTCTCAGGCGACAACTTCCGTTTGATGTTCTCCATCGTGCCTTCCAACACCTGTAACTCAAAAACATTCTGATCCGAGTCTGAGAGACACTTTACTTGCAACATCAGCGCTGTTAAGTCTGTAATCAGGTCGCGAACGCTATCGCTCTCAACTGGACTGGATTCATCTGATTGAACACTCCTGCTAACAATATCCGACGCTTCTTCTTTACATTTTTCCCGCAAATGACTGGGGGTTAACATCGCGACCACTCTCGAATCATGCGCGATATCCTGAAGGAACGTTTGCATCTCATCCAGATTAGCCTGCAGGTCTTTGTTCAACTTTTCGAGATCAATCAATATACCAGCGTATCTCCTCTCAAGATCTTCAGGGATTTCCATTTGATCAGAGAGTAAACGCTCAGCTTCTTGATTCATTGTTTTCAACAGATTAATTTTCAGACGTTTGGCGCCTAAAATTTTCCTTACCAACACCATTTTCTCCAGTAATTCAACTGGGTAACCTTGTTTTACTCCTGGCATAACCGGCCTATTCAACATGTAACTGGCCAATAATGGATCCCGATCTCTTCGTAGTTTGCCACTGTTTGAATATGTGAATTGAGCGTTGGATTTGTGATATCCTACATTACCGTTTCTCCTCGGCATGTTCATCAATGGCATGCTATCGGGCGCTTCGTTACTCAACACTTCAAAATCCGGCACTGAATGTGTGCCCAAACCGACCCGATCAAATGTGATTCGATAAGTGCTGTTTGAAGTGTCGACGCCATCAATGCTGCCAGTAAACAGACCATCTTGTGGTTTTCTTAGTCTTGCTGTTACTTTGGTGCCAATTGTCAGCTGCATTGGGATCTCAAGAGGTAAATCTTGAAATGTGGACAAATCAGTCACCTTTCTCTGTTGGAGAGCTCTGATTTTATTCCTTTTCTTCTCCAAGTCAAGTCTCTCCTGATTGAAGAATGCCTGAGAGCATCTTCTTGGCCTACCCATCATCCTTCTGATCTTTGTCCATTCAATTCTAGTTAAATCTCTTGTTATTAACTCAGGGAAGGATTCTTTGAGACAAATCATAAAATCGTTGTCTCCACTGAAGAGACACTTGTCAATGTTGCTGTAAAACCATTCAAAGCAAACCCATTTATGAGCTTTGGGCAATTTGAGCAAGTTTCTCAATCGGAGGCCGATCTTCTGACCGATTTTCCTATCTGGAGACTGTAGTGGGACTGGAGATAATTGTTTTTTCTTGGATTTTTCCATTCTTTCAGTGGTTCTACCCCTATAAGGAGACTGTGGAGTCTTTGGCGTTCTTTTAATAGGAGTCATTTTTTGTTTCTTTGCAGATGGCACCCTGTGATGTGGTGTGTTGACCAAACCATCATCATAAAACATTTTGTTCTTCTTTCGGATCCTGGCAGGCATACCTCTGGCATTTAAAACTTGTGTGGGTTGAGTTGGAGTTGTCTTAGGTGTGGTGGTGCCAACCCTCTGCAGGCCTAGCATAGCAGGCCCCAGCTCTACCTCATCAGGTTGATCCTCCTCCTCAGACATAGCTTCTTCTTTGATGGGCTCAGTTTTCATCTTGGGAGAGGTTTTATCTACAAATAGACAACAACATTAGATCAACTGGATTTAGACTCTATTCTAATACACTTGTTAGATGAAAACATTTGAGATCATTGAATTTACGACGCGATTTGCGTTAAATTGCATGACTAGGTTAAATGTATGTATACAAGGGTATTTGAATTTTCGGCGATCGAGCTCCATTTTCGTTTGAATTTGAAAACCCAGCACGTACCCGAATCGCAAGCTACGACGATTTATGTACGTCGAGGGACTTCCGCACGTACTCGAATCAATAAGTCGTCGTCCAGCCGACTCGCGGAGACTTCGATCGGAAGCAGAAGCGATGGATTTGAGCCAGATTGATGTAGTTAATTTCAAACAAACAACTGAATCGCGGATCAACTTTGGGCGGCCATGTTTGACATATCGGCTGTGCAGCGGGGAATTCTGGGAGCGAGTGTAATCGGCTTTCGCGCAAATTTACATTCGAAACCAGCTTCGGGCGAACGCCATAGGGACGTGAGTACTTACTTGCTCTCAACATGGTGGGCCAACGGCGGCGTACAGGCAGACGGTGCTTAATTGTTGTTAACAGCAGCAATGATAAGATTTTTTAAATCGAATTCGTATGCACGATGTGCGGTAAATATCGACGCGGCGCATGTCACATGTACACGCACAATTGTAACAGCGCCGTCTAGCGGCCATATTTGGAATACAATTTGCTTTTTACAAAATTATATGTTTAAACGTATTAATTTAATAATTTAATGGTATCATCTTATTAAGAATATAATATTATTTGGTAAATATGTTAGAATGATACTTTAATTGATTTAATATAACGTAAGACAAATGTATGCTTCGTGCGCGCCCTCTGTTGGGCGCGTGGCAGAAATACCACAAAAACATTGATTAACTTTGTAATTTAACTAACTTATCGTTATTATCACAAAAACCACTTGCAAAACATACAACTTATCTTTGTTAACAAATTATCATCAATAATTGGACAATAAGTATGTGCGTTTTAATCATTTAATAACAATAAGCAATAATAATTTCAAAGTTTGAAACAAAAGAAAAAATTTTGTTTATTGTCACATTTCTGAATTGAATACACATGAAAAACAATACACATGATTAATATTTGCTTATATTTATTAATTTTAAGTGTTCCTCAATATTTCTCCTCTGATATAGACGAAGAATCAGTGATGGAAGCGGAATTAAACTGCCGTGAGCGAAATCGGCTGGTTACCGACGCAAAAGACGATGCATACAACACAATTGAAGGTAGTTTAGGCGAAACCGTGAAAATGCAATGCCATTTTTGGTAAGTTAAATAAAAATTATTAATTTAATCACCATTAAAACACTACATTGCATTTAGCGATGAACCTGATGATGAACACGCAAAAAACTGGTTCAAAATGGATCCTCTCGATGACAAATTTCGATATCAAGTTGAACTGGACATGGAAACAAACACATCGTTAAATAGAATCCATCTTAATACGCAACATACCCTTACAATAAGGAATCTAACTCAGGACGATCGTGGAGAATATTTCTGCAAAGGTCTTGAAGATGACGAGTTGAACAATAAATTTAACTTTTTACTTGATGGTAAGTAGCCATTTTGAAAGTAATACCATACAGTTTTTGATTTTTATATTAAAGTGGTAATCCCTTCGGATTTATCCCCGGAAAAAGGAAATCTAACCCACTGGAAGAAATATCACGATGAGAATATCTCACCAATAAACAAAATGTTGAACCAATCTCAATCAAAAGAAGTCCTGTACTTGAAAAACGATTTAAAAGTCCACATTGAGCTGGAAACTTCATGGGGACGTCCAGGTCCTTGTGAAATCTGTGGGCGTCCAAAAGGTGATGGTCGCAAGTATACCGACGGTCATTGCAGAGCGAAAATAACACGTTTAGGCAATCCACAATTATCGAAAATAACAGCAGATGTTAAAATGCTAATGAGAGCAACGCATTTATCTTGTAGAAGTATTACGTTGCATAATCTTGTGCCTGGGATAGTCAATCAAACCTCATACATCCCTGATTATCTTTTGGTTGAAGTGTGTGATGGTACTTGTAATCCCGATGCGAAAGGAGTCCACAGAGGATGGCGCAGCACAAAGAAAGGGTTTAAATACAAAAAGACGTTTGTTCTAGCAGAGAATGCACATTTGACTTTGATTTGCCCCGAATCCACGTTGGAAAATGAAGTTGAATGGAAGATTAATAATAAGTTGATAAGACCTGGCGAGAGTAAGATGCCTATTAGTAGAAAAGTGGAAGCAAAAGTATTCGTTGATTCTTTGAATACTCTGTATCTTTATGGAGTGACTAAGGATGAGGAAGGGAATTATACTTGTTACGTGGATAAAGTGCGAATGCAACAGGTTAGAGTGTTTGTTGTAAGTAAATCAAAATTATTAACGCAAGGTAAGATGATAAATATAAAATATGAATCTCCATGGACGCCATTTTGTAAAACTACATTTTTAGCTTTTGTACGACATATGATGTATTTAGCTTTTGTATTGTCGCTAACCCTAAGTTGTTACTGTGCGGGTTTGGTGATAACATGGACAAGAAGGCGAAAATTTAAGACTTATCGCCAAGTACGTCATGAATTGAAAGCTACGAACAAGTTAATTGAAGATGATTTGAGTTCTCTGACGCTTTCTGAGGATGGATCATTTACTAGCAGTACAAATCAACCTACAGACACCACGCAAACTACACCTACGAGTATATCTCCTGTGTCACCACGAAAACATAAAAATAAGAGTAAAAGATCGAAATCAGATCAAACTACTGATATTGAATCATCAGTTTGAGAATAGACGAAGGAATGAATACAAAACTCCACAAAACTCCACTTGGGGTGTAGAATTATATTCTGTATCATTAAAAGCAATTTAGGATCTATATCGACAGTTTTAGAGTCCTTTTTTAATCTGCATATTTTCCTGGTCTTTTAAACTCACAACAAGTTAAAATTTAAGAAATACACGTTAAATATTAAGCAAACACATTCAGTTTATATTAAACTAGTTGACAAACTTCGTACCTTGAAATCAAGACTCTATGCTTTTTTGAAAACTTGGTATTTATTAAACTATCGCATAATGATACACAAAGTTGTATTTTTCTAGTGTGATAACCAATACTTGGATAAATATATTAAAAAAACTAAAATTTTCAGATAATTATTAAGCAATGCAAACATTTTTTAGTTATCTTATTTTAAAATTGTTAATGGGCTGATTGCGGTAACATTTTCCCGCATTTTAAATAAATTATAGCAAAAGTGCATTAGTTTAAAAGCCAGCAAATTATCAATTAGTTTACTAACTAAACTCGTACTTTCAAGATACACTCTGCACCTCCAAAGTTTGTAATGAATTTCAAAATTATCTTTTTTACTCTTGCAGTATTAGCTGCATGTTCTGAAATTGTGTCTGCTGCTAGAAAATTTACTGGATATTATGGTAAAACAAAATAAATACTTTAATGATGATGATTTATCAACGCAAACTTTTATTTATAAATATTTTTTTTCATCTTTTAGTAATTGGAACAAAAGACAATTGTCCGGAAAATTCGAAATGGAATGATAAGGTATTTCCATGTCAACCAGGGTGTGTCGGATTTTATATTTCGTGTGGACCTGATCCTGAATATCGTAGTGCGTGTCAATGCAAAGAGGGCTTATTCATCTCCCTGAATAGAACATCATGTGTACCAATTGATGAATGCCAATAACGCCCGGAGTAAGTTAACCCTTACACAGACTAAGACAACATATTGGGTGAAGTGATTATAATCAATTTTCAATCAGTAGAATAAACTATACAATACTTAAATAAGGTTATTTTACTTGGCAAAGGTACATTATCTTCTATAATATAAAAAGGATTCGCAAAATGTGTTGGTAAGCGTATAACTTAACAACGCCTAGACCAATTTGGCCAATTCTTTTTTTTTAATGTTCAATGAAGTCCAATTATGGTTTACTGCAAGAAACTATTTGAATAATTGGCGGGAAAACCCTATAGAGAGTTTTTTTTTTTTTCAAAACAAGATAAACGCAATAAATTCCTTTGCTTTCTTCGATTTATTTTTGATTGATTGTTTTATAACGTGTTTTGTGGATTCCACTAATATAATCTGATTTAATCTAATGAAATTAAATGTATCTAATAAAATTAAATCATGAATTACTATCAAATTTAATATTTGTAACATATTTTGTTGCTATTGGAAGTTAAATACAATAAAAACGTGTTGCTATTTAAGCAGTTTAAAGGGTTCGCTTAACGTTTGATTATGGTTTTTGAATAAATTAGAAAAATAACGAAAACAATGCAAAAATAAAATAAAAACAAAACAGTTTTCTGCTGATGCCCACAGGGCGAAACATGTAAAACTCGCAAACAAAACTGTAAAATCCAAGAAAATCACAAATTATATTAATAAATATATTTTATAAATTACTACCATGGATTACGTATTCAACTTAGAAAATAATAAAAACAAAACAGATAAGCGTTGAAGTATCCTTGGTAGGTGGTGAAATGGTTGCATACGTTAATAGACTTAAAATTATATTTAAGTTCTTTGCTTTCCCCTTCTTTGTTGGTGACTGCAGACTTGAACTGCTGACGAATTCTTGTAGAATGCAGCAGGAGGAACAGGCGAGGCTTGGTGCAGCAACTACACAGCTAGTAAACTTGTAGACGTCAAGAAATCGACTTTCACTCGGCTTAGTTCATCGCGGTAAACAATGTAATGGCTAACAACATATGCCATTGTACAGTGCATCACTAAATATCTTGCTAACTCTTCGCCAAAAGCCGAAAAAACACACAAAACTATAACACAACGCAAATTATTATTATCCAGACGTACCGACGTATAATTAAACAAAATGAGACTACTCATGGCTGTGATATTCGTAGTTTCTACATTTGGATTTACACAAGGTACAATTTTAACATTTTTACTTTAATATATTCATACTTATAGATATTTGCTTTTAGGAATACAAAGATGTTTCGTGTGTCGGTCCCGTGGAGAAATGGGAAGCTGTAAGGATCAGTTCACGTACAATGCGACGCAAATTGAGAGCAAAGACGTGAAAGGTGTCGAGATGAGTCCGTGCGCCTCTGGTTGGTGTGGTAAAATCGTTGAAACTGAAAGCAATGCACCTAAAGAAGGTAAAATATTGTTTTATAACAAAAGAAGGTCAATAATTATCAAACTTTAAAATTAGTAAGAGAATATTCATCATTCAAGCACGTACAATCAGTTTTTAGGTTAAAAGTGTATAACCTATCATTAACTCTATTAATATGATGTAATTTTTAGAATACGGTGTAGCAACACAAAGAATATGCCTCCAACGTGGTCCTTCTGATGGTGAAGATCGGTGTGCGTACACAAAATGGCAATACCGACCTGTTTTAATGTGCTTCTGCCGTGGGGACTTGTGTAATTCCGCCATTAACGCACATCCATCATGGGCGGCCATCTTGTTGTCTGTATCTCTTCTTCTTGCACGATTATATTATTAGAACCAACAAATAAAATAACTCAATATATATTTATAGTAAAAAATATAAATATTGTACCAATATATTACAAAATACGTTTGTAAATAGTAAATATTTACGTTTAAGTTAGGTTATGTTATAAAATATTTTAAATTGAGGTTAAAACGAATAGCGTTTGGCATGATCTCGATTAAATGGCGAGCGTATGCTTATACTTCCAAGACGATTTGGTCTTAGACCATTTGCTAGTCGTTTTTCTTGTAATTTTAGAAGTGCTTTCGCATGCGGAATGTCTTTGAAGAATAATTCATGACTATAGAGATAATCAGCGGCTTGTTTTGCGCGGTAACCAGTGAGTAGGTATGGGTCCGGAGGCAATTCTAAAAGAAAAAACTTGAAATCACATAAATTTAATCATTTTTTGAACATAACTCACCTAATTTATTGATAAAATCATGATCATGACCAGGTCCATGTTCAAGTTCATGATTTCCTGGATGTGAAAGATGCGTATCAAGTGTAATATCCAAAAAGTCCACTGGTTCATCAAAAATACTCGTGGGCCAAAGTTCATCACCGAAAGAATGCGGTAAATTGTTTTCGAAAAAGTTTACATTTGCAATTGGATAATGAACAGGATGATGGGAGCCTGGATGTGAATTTGGGCGTGGTATTGGATGAAACGGGCGGATTTTTTGTGGATGGTGGATGAAACTGACGCTTTGATAACTAATTCCAGCGTGTGATGTTTTTATCATTAGCGTTACCAATGAAATCATCCATAATAACACGAAATTCTAAACAAACAAGCAAACAAACAAAAAAGTGATTAATTTATAGATTAATACGGTTTTATGAACAATAAAAGAATGAAACGCGTGCAGTGTGTGCAATACGCGTGTGAACTATCATCATTCGTGAGTTTCTTGCGATATTGAATGAACAAATCGCTTTTACATCGGTGTGGGTGATTTATGTGCGTGATCGTTTTGTTCTGGTGCGAGAAAACTCGAAAATAATCATTAAATAAATATTAACTAACATCATAACTTTATAGAATTAGATTATATAGAGTTATGTGTACAATACCAACCAAAAATTGTGAGAATTAAGACATCAGATGAGTTTTGGTGAATTTTTGGTGAAGGGAGCCACTTAATCGATTATTTACGTACTGAATCATCATGTTACATTCACCAAAAGATCATGAATTATGACATCGGGCCAGTGTGTATTATACAAGACACATAACAAGATTTAGTAACTTTAAATTAATAATAAATATTATTTTTGGAGAAATTAAGTTATTAAACGAATTAAAAATTTGTTCTGCATAGATATTTAATGCGTGGGAAGAAAATAAATGTTGATGATTGCAATGGCCATGTATGCAACCAATATTTCAAATAGAGAAGAGCAAGACTCGAAAAAACTTAAAAAAATAAAAACTTTATTCTGAAACAACAAAAATGCATGAAACATTAATAACTTTAATAATTATATAGTTTTGAACTAAATTAACGGAATAAAACGCTGTTAATCAACGCTTTTTGCAATTTTTATGTGTGATGTTACGTATTTGTACATCTATGCAACCAAGATTACAAGAAGAGAACATTTCAGAAGGAATATATGACAAGTGAATTGATTTGCTATAAATTTTATTTTAAAACATTAAAAGTGTATAAAACATTAATATTTTATGATTTCCAACAAAATTAACAAAATTAAACTCAACTAATCAACGGTTTTTGCAGTGTTTTGTGTGACGTTGAATATTTGTTCATATATGCAAACAACATTTCAAGAAATAAAGAAAAATACACAAAAATACTTAAAATACCACAAAATTTACATAAAGTGTATTGCAAACACATTAATTTGCTATGAATTTAATTCTAAACCAGTAAAAATGCATATAAGGTTAATATTTTATGATTTAGAACTTAATTAACAAAATAAAACGCAGTTAATCAACTGTTTTTGCAATTTTAACTTTTTATTATCTTAATCAACCTTAATTTACTTTATAGGTTCTGTTGTTGTTGGTAAATAAACTCGTCCATTAAATTTGTTTTTATTTTCCGTTGTGCTTTTATTCCCGGCTTTGTTCGCGTTTAGATGCCTCTATTACTTCACTCGGCGTTCGGCGCGCAATTAATGCACGCGCTTGCATAACATATTGCATTTCTTGCGGTTGCAGTCGCTTGTTAGTTGTTAGCAACTAGAGAGATGCACTGGATGCACATTTCCCATAAGCTCCAATTGCCTCGCAGCACTATTGCGACTATTGCTGCGATTGCTACTATTGCTACTTTTCGTTCATGAGAGGATGAGAACTCACAGCCAACTTTGAGACTCGAGTTAAGATTCATAATATATTCGCTATTCGCTTGGCTTGTCCGAGCGCTAAAACTCTTCTGCTTGTAGTGAATGTAAATTATGTCTGCAGAGGCGAAGAGAAGAGTTGGAGATTCGCGCAGTGTACACACGTGGATTATATAATATTTTCAGATTATATATATTTTTGCGTTTGCATCAATGGAATAATTGTGCACATTACACTAGGCTTGCCGAGATTACTATAAATGGCAGCAGTTATTTTTTCATCAATCGTCGAACCAGGAAGTTAATGGTTAAACTTTAAATGCAACATTATTTAATCACTTTTATTTCCAGTTTTTGAGGTGCAAGTAACGCAGACATTTAATGTTAATGCAAATTTATACAATTAATTGCAATTATTTTAAGAATAAATTTTGTTTTGTAGGTTTTGGCACAAAATTAACGAAATAAAACGGAATAAAATTAGTTTTTGCAATAGTCGCAATTGGAATTAAATTATTCTTCATTTAATGAATAGTTAGAAGAGTAATTGAATTATAATCGTAATTAACAATTATTTACGACCGTAAATGTTAGTAATACTATCGAATAATGTTGGAAAATGTATATAATTTGTAATAAGTAAGATATTTTTGCAGAAATTGATAGTTAAATTATTAAAAACTTACAATTTTTAATTTCACGCTAAAAATTATACAAATGTTTCTTCTGACGACAATGTTAAGTAACACCCTCGGTAAATTTAGCAAAAATTCAATAAAACACAAAATTCCTGGATATGTGACGTCCTTGTTGAGTTGTTTTATAAATAATTTCATTGATTTTCATCTGTTTCGTGCAAAATTTGACTCTTTACTAATAATCACTGATTAGTTTCACAGTATTTCATGGTTCAAATATAAATTTAAATAAAATTAGTTTCATAAAAATTAAATAACAAAACAAATAATTATTTTAATTATGCCCCTAACACATGAAATTAAAAATGTAAAATACCCGAAACAATTAGGGTCATTTCTTCGTCTGCTTCACCTCGTCAGAAATGTTTTGCAAGACAATCATTATTATTACATCTCCAAACATAAGTGCGACTCCTCAAATGTTAACGACTTTAATTTTGTTGATTTCATGGTTTTACGAGTACTACGTGCAACAATTCTAATTTTACCTCCAAATAATTTCTCATCTGTTTTACTTATAAAAATATTTAAAAACCTAATTATAAATTAGATTTTCTTAATAAATTCAAGCAAACAGCAAACTTTTATTTATATTTATTTTATTACATTCGGCTTTTTGGTTTTCCCAACGCACGCGATAGAATAATTTCCGAGTTTCAATGTCTCAATTGTAACGTGGTGTGATTTTGTGTGTTCACGATGCGTTTGATGTCGTGATGCGCATGCAAACGACGAGAAATTACCATTTCGATCGCGTTCAAATTTTATTTAAAATTTCACTCTCTGAATTGTTTTAAATTTTTTAACTTTACACGCGTTTTTTGTTCACATTCAGAGAAAACACTGTCACTTGTCCCAACGTGTTTTATTTTTATGGTTTTAATGGTTTGCGTTGTTGTGTAACGTTAAAGAGAAGAGAAAAAAACAGTAGTCATAGTAGCTCATTTGTATTTTGCGTTATTCAACGAATTTCTACTGTTTTGTTTGTTTTTCCGGTTTGTTTCTTATTCGTCTAAAAATCGTGACTTATGGATTTAGGTATTGTTCCAGTTTTTGACCTACACGCTAAATTTAAATGTGAAACATAATCGAAAAACTGGTGGTTAAAGTTGAATCCAACACTTTCTATCCTCTCGCACGTGAAATGTGAAATGATCATCATTGATGAAACAAACAGTCGTTGTTCGTGACTGGACATACTCGCAACTTCCTGATCTTGCTCTACGTGATCAAAACAATAAATCATTAATGTGATTGTCAATAGGGTCAAAGAGTGCCCTTTAAAGAAACGTGATGTTTCTGATAACGTAAGCGTGACAATGTTTTATCATAAATCACGTCTGCAGTATTATTAAATTAATATTATTATAGCTACTATATTTTTATTATTTAAATTGGTAAAAGTAATTGTCAATAAATAATTGTGTAGGGCTTTTAACTTTACCGTTAGTGCAGATTGCAGACAGTGATTGTCTTTCACTATGTATTTTCTTTCATTTCACTTCATTTAGACATTTGGTTAAGGTTCATTTACTGTTATAAATAAGTACTCAGGTTCTCATTTGTTCCATCTTGTTTGCTTTCCATATTTATTTAGTTTTACTTCATTGTCAGCTGTCCTAAACAAACATTAAACACAGCGCAGAAAAAGTCTCTTCGTTTATTTGCTCAGTTTGCAATCGATTGTTACCGTTATTTTCTAGTGTTATCTGTTTAATACACAACATTTGCATTTTTTCATATGTGCTTACATTTTTCTGCGCATAGTTCATGGTTGTATAAAGTGCATTATTGCATTAATCATATTTTTTTTATAAAATTAAACCAATTTTTTTACATTTTTGTATATTTAGTTGCATAAATCGTCTGACTGTGTGTATGTTACTGAATTCTTCATAAATATTAAGACAAATTTTGATGAATTTTTGTGTGTGAGTTCAAGAATGGTTTTAATTCACAATTTGTTCCAATAAAAACCATTTTAGTGCCAAATTTTGACAAATAAAAAGAAAAAGCACGTAGAGGTTATGTCGAGAGGTTAGGTTTGACATAACTGTCATTTATTAATTGACAGATGATTTTTAAATATTAATATCAAATAAATTTTAAATTTGCAAAAAAATTCAGTTTGTTTTAAGCCAGAATTATGTTAAAACAATATTTATTAACGAAAAGTACAAATTTTACGAAAATTTCAAGTTTTCCTATGCAATTTTTAGTTATATATACTTTCTGATCAATAATTATTCACTTAATTAGTGGCGATGCACTTAATGCGCATATATCCTCTTGCAAAAGATCAAGAATGTTTATTACTCTATAGAGTAGTCGATATTTAAACTATTTACGCGATTGCAAACGTTTTGCAATAGCCAGGATCGCACACAACCAACTGGCGTGCAATAAATCAGATCAGAGTGCACAGCAATGCATCTAAACACATCATTAAATCCACGCGTGTTTCCAACGACAAAACTATCCTTGATGCATTGTTCGACATTCTGCAATTCATCAAAAATAACCTTAATTCATTACCCTGCTGTTATAAAATTAAAATTCCTGCCTTAATACATATCAAATGAACAAATCGAATTGAATTTAATTAAATCGTTTAACTCTTCACTTTTAATGCATCAGCAGGGTCAGTTAGACACATGCAACCTAGATAAATTCCTCTGGATGGTTGTACAAGACATAAAGAAGATAATATCCATTAAATGTAAATTTACTTGCGTGTCGTTGCATGAGTCGTTGCTTCAGCTGCTACAGATTGTAAATCGTATGGTCTTGTTTTGCCACCCGAGGTAATAAAAATGCGTGAATCCGCGAATGGACCGCACGATGCATTAATATTTTTTTCTGGTCAAAAGCGGCGCGTTTACTCGCGTTTTGGATACAAATGGTATTTATTATTACTGGTCGTTACTGGAATAATTGATAGTCTTACTTTACAACCGCCATATTGCACCTAGGCACCATACTAGGTTATGGTGATTATTTGCGGTACCTACACAATACATTCAATTGCAATTTATGTGTTTGTGCAATTATTTGTAATGAAGTATAGTGTAATTGTGGTTTGTGGCGTTTGAAGCGTTTACCTTATTTGTTATGAATGGTTTTTAATTGATTCACGTCTGATTTAGCTTTGTTTTGCATCGGAATAATGCTTATTGAGAAGAAGTGTGAGAAATGAATCGTAATTGAATGTTTCACGAGTTCTATTTCAGAGATTCTTTGATTGTGGACGTATTGAATGATAAATTTAAAGTAAATTAATCGTTTTGTTGATGTTTAGCACAAATAAAAGTTAGTAAAAGTTGTGAATGAGTTTAATTTAAATTATAACTTGTTTCATACAATTTTTTTCATGCTTTTTTTATGAATAACAAAATAAACAACAGGTTTAAGATAACTTTTTCTTGAATTATCATGAATACTTATTTAAACTTACCATTTTTGATGTTCCTTCAAGTTTTGTATCACTTTTACTTTAACTAAACTTAACATTCAATTAAATTATCATAAATTCAGTGTAAATTGTTAAAAAACTGATTGAAGATTAAAATGACGACAAAAACTTGTGTGAATTATGAGTTTGTGGGAGAAGTGACGACCAGTCGACAAGAACTAATCACGAAGACTAACTAAGCAGGCAACGCAGGCGTGTTGGCGGTGCTTCTGAAGAGCAAGCACATGCTTGCGCAGTCTATGTACTCGCGCAAACAAGAGCTGGGAGCCAAAGAAGATTCGTCGGATTGTACAATCATCAACAAAGCAAACAACAATTATATTAAAATTAATTTTCATCCAAATTGAGTTAAAAATTGTTATGTTTATTCAATCATTATGTAAGTCACTATTATGCATTTTATTTTGTGTTTAAATTAATATTTTATGAGTTATGAAATGTTTAATGCATGATTAAGAACTATAATCAATAAAAAGGAGCGGAAGTTGGTTCTTAGCGATATTTTTAATAGGAAATCAATAAATAAATAAGTTAATAGATAAAATGAATAAATTGACGCAAAATTTGAAAATGTTTACAAAATCGTTGATTTTTGCTACTTTTTCAGTTTCCTCATGGCTTAATGTCACCGATTTTCAAAATATTTTGATGAAAAATTGAAAAAACGATGGAAGTCATAATTAAAAACGTACCACTTGTTGCAAAAACGTATAAATTCAAATTATGATCCAAATCAATCAAAAATGATTTAAATTATTCATATTCTTAGTTATTTTCTGTATGTTTCCTCAAACACACAATTATTTATTGTTACAATTAAATTAACTTACATTATTTCCACACACATCCACTCACCCTCCTAACACCCTTCTAACAATGTGAAAATGAGCAGAAGTCAAATTAAAAACCTATCATAAGTTTTCCTTCCTTGTCACATGTTTCCATTCACTTACCCAAGACATAAATTGACACCATGAGCTGATAATATGATTACAACTTACATATTATCAACAATATTACACATAATCCTATCCAGAATATAACATTTATCTGAATTACTATCTGCTGCTGAATCACTGCTGGCCGCTGCACCCGCATGTGTATTGACAAACATCTTATTATCCAGTTCCATCATCTCAGGCAGATTATTAATTGCTTGTTGTAGCAGTTCCAATACTTTATCTAAATGCTTCTTGAAACGATCGGCGGTTTCAATGCGCTGACGTTTTTGTAACTCCATCATCACTCGGAGTGTTTCGCGTGCTTGGTGTGGACGAAACTCATTCAGAAGATGATGAATGTGAATGAAGAGCAGTGATAAGTCTTCTACTTTTTCCTGTCTTCTGGGAGAATCAGGGCAGTGGACTAAAAGGTCGAGAAGGTCAAGGAAATTTGCCAGAAGTGAGAGGTTTAGTTTTTTCAGTTCACGACGACGGTCAAAATGGAGTGGATAGAGACGTTTTATTCCCTGTAAAATATTAAATGATATATTAATTGAACCAAGAAATTCTTCAAGTATATGAAAATTATTAATTTAACAAATATAGTTTTAGTTACCTGACTTTCAAGAGGTCGAATTATGGCTTCTTCAGTATTGAAGGAGTTCCCAAACATGCTGTATTGGTCATGAATTGGTGGTGGAGGCCGTGGGGCCCTTCCGCGTTTGATCAACTCATCAGTATATTGGTTGATATACTGCATTGGTGGTAAAGGCAGCGAACTCACTTGAACTGGCTCGGAATTCGTAGCCATTTTGACAATTGGCTTTGTTAATCAATCACAGTTTATAATAATGTATAATTTTTAATTTTATGTCGAAAAGGTTGTGATTACAGTCGTGATTTTCGATGTGATTCCAAAGTGTTCCAAAACATCAACAAACGACTCCCAACTTTGACAATCACCAGCAAAGTCGAATGAAGGACAAATATAACATGCACAGGGCCACATTTAACTTGTTTCAATGAAGAAATTTCAAAAATCTTTTTATTTTAACTCCATTTCTGTTGAATGAAACTTATATTTATGTTTTGACTGAACAACTTTTTAAAAACTTAATAATTATATGCATAATTGTTGAAATATTGATTATTATTCAGCGTTTTATTCGAATGTTTCGTTCATTCAATATTTTTTCTTTGCAAATATTTAACCAAATTTTAACAGCTGTTTTACCCACGTTTTCGTCTGTATTTGAGATTAATTCTGGTTAAATTCGCTGATATCATGAACTCTGCACTCAATTACTACGAAATACTCGAGTGCAGTCCTTCCGCCACGTTCGAAGAGCTCAAAAAAAGTTATCAGCGACTTGTGAAACAAAACCATCCAGATAAACTCTCGCCTATTTCATTATCAGAGTCAACAGATGTTAATGTAACAAATAGTGATAGATTTCTCTTAATTGATGAAGCTTGGAAAGTGTTAAGAGATACACAACAACGTAAAATATACGATTCATCCAGGTTACAATTAGAGATTAATCAGAATTCTGTAATATACGCGGAAATTACTTTGGAGTCTTTGAGTTTTAATGAAGATTGTGTAGCTTATTATCTGTGTCGATGTGGAGATAATTTTCAAATACATAAAGATGATTTCATTGAGTCTGAACTAGGGGAAGAAGTATTGTTTGAATGCTCTGAATGTTCCAATAATATATTAGTAAAAGTAACTAAATAATTTTGACAAATTAAAATAGTTAATTAAAATGAGACTGATAATCTTTCTGGTAATTTATGCTGGGATTGTTTATGCGAAACAAGTGCCAATTGTGATCAACACTTGGGCATTCACAGATTCAACTCAAGCAGGTAAGATATAGCAACTGTATCAACAAAATGATTAATATCAATCCCAACCTTTGTAATTAGCATGGAATCTTCTCAAAAGAGGTGGTGATGCAATAGATGCAGTGGAAATTGGATGCATGACCTGTGAAAAGTTGCAATGTGATGGCACAGTTGGTTTCGGAGGCAGTCCAGATGAAAATGGGGAAACCACTCTAGATGCACTACTTTTTGATGGGTAAAATTCATATTTTCACCTAAAATAAACATTAAATAACTAATATTGTAATAAATATTAGGACCACAATGAATATGGGTGCAGTTGGAGCTTTAAGACGCGTTAAAGACGTGATTTCTGTTGCAAAACACGTTCTTATCAACACAGGACACTCAATAGTAGTTGGAAGTCAAGCTACTGAATTTGCCAAACGAATGGGTTTCACTGAAGAAGATCTTACAACAGACAGATCTAAAAAGATCTGGACGGATTGGAAGAACAACCGTTGTCAACCAAATGCATGGCTGGTATGTATTATTCACATTAGTTATTAAATTTCATTCGAAAATTATCAATTTAAATGTGAAATATTAGGCTGTGTTGCCTGACAGCAACACAACTTGTGGTCCTTACCGTCCAGTACAAGAAAACGACGTTTATTACAACCACTGGACTCATAACTATCCACACAGAAGAACAAGAGAACATTTCCAACGCCACAGTTTCAGCACTAACAATCACGACACAATCGGCATGATTGCTATTGATGCAAATGGAAAAATCGTTGCGGGAACTTCAACGAATGGAATGTCACATAAAATACCCGGGTAGAACATAATATTTTCTTATTTTTTTTTCATAATATTCTTTTTAAATGTATACTTATGTATATAGTCGTGTTGGAGACTCTCCAATCCCTGGAGCAGGTGGTTATGCAGACAGCAAGTTTGGTGCTGCTTCTGCAACTGGTGATGGTGATATTATGATGCGTTTCCTGCCGAGTTTTCTTGCGGTTGAAGAATTACGACGTGGTTCTACACCCTCCCAAGCAGCTTGGACCGCGATAAACCGTATCAAAGAATATTATCCATCATTTTTCGGTGGTATTATTGTTGTAAATAAACAAGGGGAATATGGCGCAGCTTGTAACGGCATGGACAGTTTTCCATTTTCAGTCGCAAGTCAGGCAAATGAAAAAGTTACCGTAAAACGTGTAACATGCAAGTAAAATCACAAATAGCATAGAGTTATTTAGTTTAAACATCGTGTTATAAATGAATTTGTATGATATTAAACCCATTTTCCACCAAGTTGTTTGAAAACATTTGCATCTTGTGGTTGGTTCAAACAATTTTCTAGTGTACGCTTAGTTGCATACGTTAAACTATCATTTTCTTCATTTTTGTTCAATACTTCAAGGCATTCTGGTCCAGTTGCAACTGCAGGTTTTAAAATACTGTCTATAACATTATCAAGAGGATTGAGTCGATTATTGTTGCCTAAATCTGAGTTTACGGAAGCCTGAGACGTACCTGAAGTGAATTCATCACTTTCAGTACTGTTTAATACGCGGAAAAATCTCTCTCGAAGCATTTTACTTTTAATTCGATTATTTTCCCTGTCAGAATCTAAAAAAGCCTCATTTTTATCAGCATAATTATGAGAAACATAGGAATCGTAATCACCTTGAATACTAGCGTTAGGTTCACTGATGCTTTCAGTGTTTTCATTGTTGTTGTTTTGTTTCTGGTTAGTGTTTATATTGGTTTGCAAAGATTCAACTAGTGGCGATATACTACGAGGTGTAATTCTAGGGGACCGTTTCTTTTTCTTAGGTGAACTAAGTGGTGTGATTGATTCTAATTGTACTAATTTTAAAATGCCTTCACAAGTTGTGTCTGGCAGTTCAATAGGGTCAGGAATCGCAGCGAATTGTTTGCTTTCAACCAGTTTTCGTGCTTCTGCCATTGCTTTGGCGATATTTTTTTGTTTCTTCATCGATTGTGGATGGAAACAGGAACCTATCTGATTGTTTGTTGCGCCTGCAACTGTTGCCTTCCATTTGTTCAAGTTTGATTGCAATAAAGCTAGTTTAGCAACTCGTCTAAACCTAAAATATTTAAAAAAATAATACTAAAGAGAGTTTTGTAAAATTTTGAAGGTGTACCTATGCAAAGAATCTTCTGACTTCTTCCCACTGTCACTCTCAGTCAGAATTTCTTCTTCAGAAGGCATTGGTGTAACCGGAGCGACTTTAAAGTCTTTCATTAGACGACGCTCCCAGATTTTCATTCGTTTACCAGCGCAGGATTTTTCTTTCTTTTCGGCACAGCTTACATCCATACCATTTCGATTGAGTATTTCTAACATTTCATAACGGAAGGCAGAGATATCGTTTTTGACTTCGTTGACGTCATCTTCGGTGACTAAGTTTTCTTCACATTTACGATGCATTGAAGTGACATATCTCCAAACCAATGCTCGCATTACATTGGAATGACGTGCGTGTTCCTTTTCAACCGGATCCTAAACAATAAATTGTTGTAAGTTGGTTATTAATAATTTAATTAAAAAGTAAATACTTGTGATAACTTTTTGCCTTTATTTTTATAATCTAAGCCATTGCAATACCCGCACATTCGGAAGAACCATTTGGGATGTGGAATGATATTAAATGGCGGCGGCAGGGTTGGCGTTTCGTCGAAATATGAAATCCACAGTTTAGTTCTTGCGAATTTCCACTCGGTATCCGAGTGGCAGTCGATAATAGCATAGGAATTCGACATCATTGCAATTAACAGGTTGAGTAACACGATTATATTGATTACTGAGTAACTTCCAAACATTAATAAACCCCAGAAACGCGTATAAGACTTAATTCCTTCCAATTCAAAGTTGTTTATGTTGATCATCCCAAAGGAAGCCCAAAATAACGATTGCGATGATTCAAATACACTGAAAATTGATTTAAAATATGTTTTCAGTGTTGTTATAACATAAAAAATCGTTTACTTAATAAACCCGCGCCATTTTGAACAAGCTTCGCCATTTCCTTTCCAATCCGCTTCGCCATGATCACCAGGAAAACATTTCTTCCGCTCCAAGTCCGAAAAGTACCATAAAAGTTGATTCAAACCTAAAATTTAATCAAAACAATAAATTTTGCATAAAAATAACCATTTTTAACTCACCGCAAGCAAATGCAAACAAAACCAACGCATATATAAACAAAAACTTAACAATATCAATAATCATTCTGCCGAGAGAAATCTGCAGAGGTCCTAAATGTGGATTGATAGAAAACAAATGAATTAATTTCAAGGCGCTAAAAATATTTGCTGCAGCGAATAGTCCTTCAGCAATTAATTGCGGATCATAGTCATCCCATTTCTCTCGCGGGACATAGGCTTTCTGCGAGTCTTGTCGAATTTCTTCTGCTTGCTGAATATAAGCAGCCACACGAAGAATAAACACCATGCAGTATAACGTGTTACGGATAAAATCAATCGCGTTCCATAGATTACGAAGGTAGGATCGTATTCCAATAACGTAGATTTCATTAGTTTCTTCAAAGATAAATCCTTTTAAACAAAAAAAAAATTAAAAGTAAAAAGCTACAAAAGACAGTAGAAAATCTTACCTATAACATAAATAATAATAATATACTCAAGAAAAGTCGGTGTGTTGCCTCGATGTCTCCGATTCTGATCAGCAATCGTCTGTTTCATTTCATCAGTACCAAAAAACTCCACAATCTCAAACTCTGCTCTTTGTGAGACCAAACTTAATATTACTACAATAAAACATTTAAAAACTATTAAAATATTAAAATTTTAAGTTTTACTTACATAAAAAGAATAAATATGAAGACGCATGAATCAAAAACTTCATAAATGGCTTCTTCATCACTCTTCCATACACCGTGTTCGGCGCAACCAAATACAGTAAACAATAAAACGGAAACAGCACAGCAACTCGAGTGATAAGAAGCACTTTAGTTACATATGACTTGCGTCGAAAGCCTGGTACACCTTCATACCAAATGGAAGCCAGCAGTTGTTGAATATGCGGATGAGCCACAAACTAAAAATCAATAAATCAGAATTCATCAAAACTTAATCAAATTAAGTTTAACATCACTCACCTTTTTCTGTTTATATTCAATCGCAAGTTTCAATCGACTCAAACGCATTCTATCACCATATTCATACGGTGGATTCAATGGATCGTGATTCAAAATGATCGCCAACTCTTGGGAGCTTCGTGATTGTTGAAGTAAATCAACTGCGAATTGTTGACATTGTCGACGAAGTTCTGTATATTCAGCTTTACATTCCTAAAAAATAAAACAAATAAAATTCAAACTTTTGTATATAAATATGATTCGATTGGGAAACAACATGAGTTAAACTTACAGGTTCAGCAAATGACAAGTTCCTCAGCTCCCAGGACAATTGAAAGGACGTGAGTATCGGATCCGATGAGGACAATGCGATGAGCGATGGGCTCGCTAGAGCTTTGTATTCGTTGACTCTGGAGAGCGAATGACGCAGGGAGTCTTCTTTTGTGTCACGTATGCATTGCTCACAGCCACACCTTGAATAAAAATAGAAAAATCTCCGTGAAACAAATACCTATCATAACCTATCTTTTGCATATTTACTTTATATCATGTGGCATTGGTAATGTTGCACCTCTGTCGAGTAAAAGCTTTAGAATTTCGTAATTGTTTCGATGTGCAGCTAAAACCAGCGGGGTTATGTCCGGAGTGAACGTTGCGATGTTTTTATCAACAGTTTGCCAACTCTATAACATAATTAAGGTTAAATACTAAATGATATGTGTATAATTGTAGGTTATGTTTGGGTACGAACGTATTTATCTTGCTTTTTATGAATAATCTCTTCGTGTTCCAATAATAACTCGACTGCTTCCACGAATTCAACACTGATGGAGTGTAATAATGCGTCTTTTGTCTCCACACCCATTACGACTAATAATTCCAACATTTCTAAGTTTTCTCCGTCGATGGCAAGTGTCAAGGCGGTTCTTCCTAGACTATCAACACAGTTTGGATTGAATAGATTGTATTTATGCGCTCGTTGCAACATTCTAAAATTTTTAGGGGTTAAAATAGTGTGTGTTAATGGTTATGTATATTTGGTTGCCTACCGTTTGACATTAGCAAGATCACCTCGCTCCACAGCTAATAAAAACTTCTTTTCTTCGATTGTCAAAGATTTTGTCATGGTTGCAGAGAGGGTTTTTGCTAAATCTTGATTGTCATCGTTTGGCAATGGACGATCAGCGAGGAAATTCGCTTCTAATTTTTGTATATCGTTCATATTTATCTAAAAATGTACTCGTAAATTACAATGATTTGATTTTAAGCTTGTGAAACTTAAAACAAAATTGAAATGATTTGTTTTCATGTTTAACTCAAAATGATTTACTACTGGCCGTAAAACGTGAGCACACAGCGTAAAAATCAAAGAAAATTTTTGGGAAAATAAAGAGGAATACCTTTGTTGTTGGCCCAGTTTCCAGTGGTTTTGTTTTCACCATATTTTTATATCTAAAATTAGTTTTTTGAATTTTGTAGTCAATTCTTAACGAATTTTGTTGAATTTATTCTTCTCTTCATGGCTGATGAAAAGGAAGTGACTGAAAACAATGTGAACCACTATATTTACTATGCGCATAATATAAAAAGATATTTTGATCAAATAATTTGATTTGTTGGCCAAAAATTATAATTGGATTACACACATTCTTCCATGTTGCATTTTATTTCGTTATATTCCTCTTAAAGTAACACAATTGAATTAGTATTAGTATTCGGCATGTTTAAATTATAAACTAATAAAAAATGAGTTTATGATGATTTTGCTCGTGCGGTTTGTTTAATACTAACGCCGTTGGTAGTTCCAATGCGTATGAAAGTGGGAAAAGCAATGAAAGTAATGATAATTGAGCGTTATTGATGATCATCATGATTATTATTCTGCGTAACGATGAGACGAACGACAAACAGACAAACAAGCAAAAGTGTGGCTATCGGCGGGCGGAAAAACAAAGAAAAATGGGAAAAGACAATGTGTTAACGAGTAGAAACGGAATACAAATAGGTGACGAACGTATACGATGAAAAGTGGAAAAAGTGAACAGTTTATTCGTACGAGTATGAAGAATACAGACATTGAAAGCGGAATTCATGGTCGTGCAATGGTGTGTTTATAGATTTTAGGGTGTGTGTTATTGTAATGTGGGGGTGAAAGGTCACATCACTAATTGAGATTAATTTACACGTTCAGATACTCTCATCAGGCATTAAAAGTACATAAAAAATGAAAAAATCTCTTTTGTTAATTTATTGGTTGAAATTTGTGACAGGATAATAGTAAATTTTATTGTTTAGATTGGAAAATACGATGTTTGTATGGTGGATAAAATAATATACTGTTTATTAGTTTCCGACCTTGGATTGAGAAGTAATTAGAGAAAAAGTAAACAATAAAATAATTAGAAAGTGCAGTATTCAGGTTAGAATTATATTACACTGAAAACAGCGACATCTATGTTTTATTTTTTGAAAACTCTTATAATAAACGTTTTTATGCAGTAATCGCATGTTATATCAATATAATATTAATTTCTACATATTGAAACAGAAACTATTTTCAATTTAAATAAAATAACACCTTGTTTTTTGTTTTCCGGCCTTGGATTGTAATGCAATTAGTAGAGAGTAAACAAAATGATAATTAGCACACGCAAAAACTAGGTTAGAGTTGTAATACATTAAGAACAGTGACATCTATGTTTTATTTTCCAGGATACTTTAATAATAAACGTTTTTAAGCAATAATTGCATGTTATATCAATATAATATTAATTTCTACATATTGAAACAGAAACTAATTTCAATTTAAATAAAATAACACCTTGTTTTTTGTTTTCCGGCCTTGGATTGTAAAGCAATTAGTGAAAAGTAAACAAAATGTTAATTAGCACTAGCAAAAACTAGGTTAGAACAATAAAACATTAAAAACAGCGACATCTATATTTAATTTTTAAAGAAAACACTTATGAAAACAGTTTTTAAGCAATAATCGCATGTTGTGTAAATACAATATTGATTCTTAAATATTAGATATTAGTCATATTAAGAAAAAAACTAGGACATCGCCGATGATCCGCTTATGTAAGACTTTACCCTCCCTTGGTTTTCCAACGCGGTCAAGCTTTAATTTAATTACATAACGAGATATACCCGGATTCTAATCGAATGGCTTCTAATAGATATTGCGCGGGTCACAGTCTTCCCTCAGCTTTTACCAACGTACGACCGATAACTATACAGAAAATGTTGTAAAAATGTTAAAGTCAGGCGAATCGAGTCAAAATCTATTGGCGAATATCGCCGATGGTGTATTAACCGCTGGTGTAGGCACGGTTAATCTAGACCTAGTTGAAAAACCTCTTGGGCCGGTTGAGAAGACGTTTTTGTTGCATGCTGAACGGGGCGATTGTGCAACTGTTAGGAAGTAAGTTTATTTTTACTTTTTTTTGACGTTTTAATGTGATTATGTCTTTATTTTCAGATTAATTCATGATTACAAGGATAATCCGGCTGAATTAGACATCAACTGTGTTGATCCACTAAATCGTTCAGCGCTTATTGCTGCCATTGAGAATGAAAACATTGAGTTGATTCGTTTGCTGTTGGATGAGAACATCAAAGTCAAAGTAAGTTATTTTACTGAAATAATTTTTACGGAAAAAATAATTTTAAGAGATATTTTAAAGCAATTAAAAGTGATATTTGATGCAGAGTTTAATAAAAAATTAAATTAAAGTGTTCGAGACTTGATTAGACTAACTATGTATAGTTGTGCGCTTTATAATAGGCAACTTATTATACATAACCAAAGATTTATTTTTATTTTGATGATTTAAAACGTTAAATAATAGTATTTTACTGAAATTTCATGAATAATAAATAAGATTTCCTAAATTAACAGTCGTTATCACTCAAATAATGCAATAAATTACACAAATTGTTAATTTAAACTTCTATTTTATGATTAATTGAAAAATCTATAAAAAATATTTAAGAGAATAATTTGAACGACAACAACAGTTCAACGTTTAATTTAATGAATTATTAATAGCTGTGCGCCCAATAATAGGCAACTTAGTATACTTATCACTAAAATGAGTAATTTGCTTAATATTATTTTGTTAAATTAATTAATTATGTATTAAAACAATTAAATTTAACAATTTACAAACTTACCCTCTAGAATTATACATTTTTAACATCTAATCACTTGTTATCACACATTTTAACCAAAATATCACAAAAACTAGTTATTCAACGTTATATTAAAGAGTAAAAAAATGCTCTCGACTAATTCTAATGTTCCAGTACGTGATCGCACAGCTTTCCTCGCGAATTTGAATCGAAAATCGCAAATCAATGCGTATCGGTCGCGTCGCTCCGCCGTCGCCGGTCGCACAACTCATTTTTCCTGTCCGCAAAAACCTCAACGCTCATTTTGTATACAAATATTAAAAATAGCATTCATCGCGCATTCGGCGGCAACGATTTGTGTTTTCTTATTACATCTCGCTTCCTTTCTACTCCGACTGAGTGATGCACTTCGATATTGATTCATAATCGAAATCGAATCGAATCGATTCACATCACAACATCACATTCGACTTTACTCTTTATTTTCATTCGCTACTTCTATTAGAATGTGTAAACATGTAAACATTTATGCTTAAAATGTTCAAAACACAGTCACAAATTTTCAACTTTCTAGATTTTCATAAAATTTATGGATTTTCGGATTTTCGGTACAAATGCTTGTTATTTGCGTTCATTTCAAGGCACGTGTCGCTTCAAACCTCACCAAACATCACGCCTGCTCTGCTTACTTTATAAATTTCCATATTTCAAATATTCGACAATGTAAACTTCCGATTCGCACATTGAAACAATCGATAAATAACAAATAATTCAAGTTAAATTCAATAAAATCGAAAATAAATTACTTGCACTATTTTAAAACTGTTTTTTAAATGAATTTAAGGATGGATTATTGCATGCCATTAAAGAAGAATACGTTGAAGCTGTCGAATTATTATTGCAATATGAAGAACAACATCATCAAGCAGGAGAACCTTATGTAAGACTAAAAATACACGCTTTGATCACAACTTAAGTGAAACCATGTTTATTATGAGTATTTGTCTTGTTTATTAGAGTTGGGAAGCTGTCGATCGCTCATCGTCAACGTTCACAAGCGATATGACACCGTTAATTCTGGCTGCGCATAAAAACAATTATGAAATCATCAAGATTCTTTTGGATCGTGGGGCTACACTACCAATGCCACATGATGTTCGGTAAGTTACATATAAACTAACTCTAACCATATTCAGTGTATATTTGGTTGCCTATATTAATTTATTAATTTTATTTTAAGTTGTGGATGTGATGAATGTGTGGAATCATCAACAGCGGATTCTTTACGTCATTCTCAAGCAAGAATCAATGCTTATCGTGCATTGACAGCTGCATCGTTAATTGCGTTATCATCTAAAGATCCGCTGTTAACCGCCTTTGAATTATCTTGGGAATTACGACGTCTTAGTCGAATGGAACAGGAATTTCGCGCGGAATATAATGAAATGCGCGCCTTGGTGCAGACTTTTGCTACGTCATTGTTGGATCATGCGCGTACTTCTTACGAATTGGAAATTATGCTGAATTATGAACCGGAAAGTACGAATACATGGGATCCTGGTGAAAGACAAACTTTAGACAGACTGAAACTAGCTTTGAAGTATAAACAAAAGAATGTAATAAATAACTTAATCAATTATTAAGTTTTTGTGTTGATTTTTATTGTTTTTGATTAGTTTGTGGCACATCCAAGTGTACAGCAACTCTTAGCAGCAATTTGGTATGAAGGGTTGCCTGGTTTTCGGCGCAAGTCGTTGATTGGACAAGTTCTACAGGTTGCCAAACTCGGCGGCATGTTTCCGGTGTATTGCACGATTTATATGATGGCGCCCGATTCGGAAATGGGAAAATTTATGAAGAAACCCTTTGTTAAATTCATTTGTCATTCAAGTTCTTACGCATTCTTTCTTAGTAAGTAATATTTTTGATTTTCTACTCTAAAATTTAATTCAAAATGTTTTGTTTTTATTTTCAAGTGCTTTTGGGTGCTGCTTCACAACGCGTTGAAATAATTGCTCTGGAATGGTTTGGTAATCAATGGATGCAGGAAATTGTCGCTGAGTGGAAGCGAAAAGAACGTGGAGCCGGTCCTGGATTAGCTGAATGTGGAGTAATACTTTACATGATAAGTATGACTTAATAACTATTTTCCTTCTAATTGATTTAATTGGAAATTTACTTTACTAAGGTTTAATTTGGGGTGAAATTCGGTCACTCTGGAACGATGGCCTTCTCGAATACATTTCGGATTTGTGGAATGTGGTCGATTTTATCACCAATATGTTTTACGTTCTTTGGCTTGCAATGAGATGTTCATCGTTTTATATTGTTTGGAGAGAAGCAAGTCAAGGAAGAGATCCTTGGTATCCTAGGGAACAATGGCATATGTTTGATCCTATGTTGTTATCGGAAGGTGCTTTTGCTGCTGGGATGATTTTTAGGTTATATCAGATATAAAAAAGTAAATTTTTGCTAATTTTCTGTTAAATAATTTTTTTCTTTTTTAGTTTCTTGAAACTTGTCCACATCTTCAGCATTAACCCTCATATGGGTCCACTGCAAATTTCCCTCGGACGAATGATCATCGACATTGTAAAATTCTTCTTTATTTATACTCTCGTACTCTTTGCATTTGGTTGTGGCCTAAATCAACTTCTTTGGTATTATGCTGAACTTGAAAAACACAAGTGTTACCATTTGCCTTCAGGACTTCCGGATTTTGATAACAATGACAAGGCTTGTACAATATGGCGTCGATATGCAAAGTATAACCTATAATTTTAACTAAATATTAATATAACTAAAGTTATTCTTAACTTTCAGTCTGTTTGAAACATCTCAAAGTTTATTCTGGGCGTCTTTTGGATTGGTTGATCTCGTTTCGTTTGAATTAAGTGGAATTAAAGGCTTTACAAGATTCTGGGCACTATTGATGTTTGGAAGCTATTCAGTAATCAACGTTATCGTTCTCCTCAACATGCTAATTGCTATGATGTCAAATTCATATCAAATTATATCTGTACGTACTAAAAATAAAGATAACCTATAATAATAACTATTAAAATATGTTTTTGTGTGATTTAGGAACGTTCTGACACTGAATGGAAATTTGCAAGAAGTAAACTATGGATTTCATACTTTGACGATGGAGATACCCTACCGCCGCCATTTAATATCTTTCCTACTGCTAAACAATTACTTAGACCTATTGGATTGCTTAAAAAACCAAGAAGATCACATTCACTTAAGGTTAGGTTTTAGTAACTACTTTAAATTTATATTTAGGTTAAATTTATGTTATTTTTGCTTGTTTTTAGAGGAAAACAAGGGAATTAGCAATGAATCGTCATTTACGAGTGATGCGTCTTTTAGTCCGTCGTTACGTAACAGCCGAACAGCGTAAACGTGATGATTTCGGCATCACCGAGGACGACGTAATGGAGATACGTCAAGATATCTCAACACTTCGTTATGAACTCATCGATATTCTGCGTAATAACGGCATGAAAACACCTCAAGTTTCATCTGATCCTGGCGCTTGTAATTATTCAAATATTTTAAATTTCATCTTTAAAAAAATGAGGTTATGTTACAATTGATATGAATTCACAGTGTCTGGTAAAAAAGGAAAAGTAATGGAGCGTCGACTCCTGAAAGATTTTCATATTGGAATAGTGGAAGCAGCTGTAACCGAAGCTGTCACTAATCTGAAAGAACCTAAGGATATTTTTGGTACATTGGCGCGAGTAATTGGTAAGCGTACAAGTGGTAAAGCATCTAAGAAAGATTGGAATGCATTGGTGCGGAAGAATACGACGCATCGTGATCCGATTGGATCAACACAAGAAGCAGAAGCTACAAGGGCAAATCGTCAAAGTTTAAGAAGACATATTCTTACAACTATACATAAACCAGTTGAAATGGACCAAGAGAAACTTATTGGTTAGAATATTTTATCATTTATTTTATAAAAGTTTATTTCAATGTGTTGTGATTTTGTTTGGTTAGAATACAATCCAAAGTTGGTGGAGGTACCAAAGACAGCACGGGTTGCCTATGCTAAGTTCATGACAAAGAAGATTCAATCAGACTTTTCGATTGAGAATGAAATTGACAGAAATGAAGAAGCAGAAGAAGAAAATGGAAAAGTTGCAAGGAAAAGCATGAAAGGTCCTGCGCCTAAACCATCAGTTAAATTCACAGGTAAATATAAAATAAACAAACAAAATTAATATTATTTAAGCAGAAAATTAAACAAAATGGTTGCTTAAAAGATAAATTTCTTACCTTTGATACATCTAATGATTTGAACATATTTTATTCTTTTAATATTCACAAACTTTTAAACTTTTGACAGTTTAACGGTATTTTTAAAATAAGGTTTTTGGGTTTATAACTTAATTAATTGTTATTATTTCGAAGGTGAAGACATAGCTAGCACGACTGGAACAATCGGCGGCAGTGCTGGAGGTGGCGCTCCTCAACCGACAGGATCGACGACGCGGCGCGTCGATACTGAATCTAAAATTACCGTAAGTGCTGATGGCGGCGGTGACACGCCGCAAGGACAAGTTCGTGTCCACGCTCATGTTCAACACATCCGCGCGCATCCTGACCAATGGTTTGACCAAACACAAACGCACTACATATTCACTACTTCAATATCAATCCACAAACTTTAATTCATCACCCAAAAAAAAATCAAAATTTAAAAAATGCATCAAAAAATATCTTTATTTTGAGGTTAAGTAAGTTTCTTTTAATTTTTTTAATTTATTTTTTCTTTGAGAGGAAGTAAAAGGATTGAAACACTCGGTGTGTACTTGTTTGAGACGTCAATCAACGACTGTTTGCATCATGCATGAAATTGTTTGCATTTCTGTTGGCTTTCGTTGCTTATTCGCCTACAATGAACGGACACGCAATAAAACACGAGGCGCAAATGTTTATTATCCTTGTCGCGTCGTGTTTTTGTGTGGGGATTGAGTTCCAGTTAAAATTTCGATTATAATGTCCTTAAAAGTATAGAGTGTATTGAAACTTTCACATTTTCAATATCTAATTATAAAGTTTTTATCATTTTTTATTAATTTTATAAAACTGACAATAGTCGCAAACAATTTTATGTCACGTCACAAAAATGCAGTTACATTTTTAATTTTGACAATTATAGTGATTGAAAACTAAATTTGCAAAAATGTTATTTTTGGCACCAAAAATTTCCGTGTTCTTCTCTTATATCTATTTTCCAGTGAGATCGTGTTAATTACGCAAACAAAATTTTATCTCTTCAAAGTTTTGAACCTTTTACCGCTGCATCCGTGTCGTATTTTTCGGAAGATCATATCATGGCGTGGTTAATCTTCATCGTATTAATTTTTCTTGCCCTGGGGGCCTATTATTATTTTAAAGGCCGGCAGCAGCAGCAGTAAATCAGCTACACCCGCAGGATCAACCAAAGAGAAGTCATCCGTGTTGAAAACCGTTACATCTATCAAAAAAGACAAGGAAATCATCATGGACGCCCCGATAAATGATGCAAAAGAGGCGATGAAAGCTGCAATGACTCCTACGACATCAATGGAAGAGAAAAAGGAAGAGAAACAGGATGCAACCAAAGATACAAACATGGCGGGTGATACAAAAGATGATAAAAATATAAAACAACCAGAATCAGTGAAAAGTTCAGGAAAAACAACGGATACTGATAAAGAAACACCGAAAGATCCTGAAAAAGTTGATGATAAAGATGATAAAAACAAAAAAGGTATTAATTTAGTTAAAACCAATCAATAATTATTAAAATAATGTTTTTGTTATTTTTTAGACGATACAACTGAAAAATCCGAAGAAAAGTCAGAAACTAAGTCAGAGGTCAAACCCAAGGACGAATCTAGTACCTCTTCAACACTACAAGTCGAAGAAAAATGTGTTCCTACAGGTAAATCAAAGTTATCTGGAACTGTTCGTACTGGTTGGATATAATTTTTATAACCTACAATTCCCAAAAACATATAAAAATAAATTATTATTGTCAACTGTCAAAATATCAAAGAAAACAAGTAATAATGTTGATATTTAAAGTGTTTAGTTAAATATTAGTTAAAAATAGGTTAATTTTGAGGTTATAATATAAACATCCAGATATAGCCTTTATTTTTAAATATATATCATGTACAATACATCAACATTTAATAATTATTTAGTATTTAGTCTATAAATCTGTGTTCGTGTCATTTAGTTGTAATTATATTAAGTTTAAGGATGTTAAGATGTTAAGATGGTAAAATCTCATCGAACGCCTCAAATCTCCCCAGTGTTACGTCCTGTTAAGTCCATTTCATAAATAATTTACCAAGAAATAATTGAAATCATACATAGTTAATGTTCCAGCCAACTAAAGCTTAAGTGAATTGTATATCATAATGGACTATTTGTATTCATGTATAACATAACCTCAAAATATTTCCAAATTTATTTAACGTAAAAACATATCCAAAATGATAAAAAAGAAAATTTAAGATTATGATTTTAATTGCATCTGAACTCTTGTTTCTCGTTCTTATTTTTAACTGCTTGTAACTGTTGCAGCTCCTTCTGAAGATGACCTTTTGACAGAATGTCAACCAACAGTTTCAAGAGAAGTTCATGCTCTTGTTGTCCTTGAACCTCCAAGTATTTCTTCAAGTTAGCGGTGTTATTATAAGATTGACCGGCGTTTAAACCCTCCAAAGCCATCATCCCTGGATTAACTGGACTTGTCCTGCCTCCAAGGTTTAAATTTTGATTCATCAAGCGTCCGAAGCGCATGAAGTTGTCGTTGCGATCACGCCCGAAGCGTACAAAGTTACTATCGGCTTTCTTGTAGAAGTCTGAAGCTGGGGAACGTTTCTTTCGGTTTCTTTCGGCGTTGTTGATTTTATTCACACCAGCGGCCATTTTGTGACTATCAGACATTTTGTATGTGTTTGGTTTGATATAATTTTGTGTTTTCTCGTCTTTTTGCGGTTTAACACTTCGTGTGCTGCGTCCAAAGCGGATAAAATCTCTGTTTCGTTGGTATCCGCCATCTGAACGTCCAAAACGCACAAAATCAGACTTTCCACGTCCAAAACGAATAAATTGATCGTTTCTTTCACCGGAACGTGCGTTTCTTCCGAATGATTCCATGTCAACATCGTCGTCATTGAGATACATTACATTTTTTATCTCTGGATCTGAATTTGTAGTTAAAATTTTAGTTTTTGGTGCGTTGTAACCACCACTGCGGCCGAATCGGGCGAAATTTTTATCGAGGATGCTGCGGCGACGTGTTTCGCTTTGTTTAATGGCGGACGATCCGGAATAGTTTGGATCTGCGCGGCTGTCAAGGTAAACGTAGTCTTCTTCGGTTTGTAGAGGATAACCGAAGAAAGCTTCCTCTGGTAGAGATGTTATACGCAAAGTTTGAAGGAAGAGAACGCTGAGAAACACGTGGATTGGTAAAATCGACGACATTTTGTTGTTTCTAAGTAAAATCTACAAAGAAAACAAAACAAAAATTAAAATATTGAGTTTATTTATGAAATATTTAAATGTAAAAGTTAATTATTATGTCATGAAGTTAAAAGTTGCTACTTTATTAGGAATTTTAATTAGTTGCATGTTTATAGAGCATTAACAAAGCCTGTAATAATAATACGTTTGTGCAATTCTGCTGCACATAGACGAAAAGCAATTTTGTGAGATTATTATATCATGACACATCTGTTGGTTTAACAGAACGTTTGTTAAAGTTATTAAATATTAAATTACTAATTGTGCAGGTATAATGCATGGTTTAGTTATAAATAATAACGCTTTGTTGTAAGCCTATACTAATCCGGTTTATTTCCAAATTATTGTTTAATATATGCAACCAAACATTCATATCAAAGGGGACGGACGAATATAAATCTACAAATAAATTCGTTTTTATTCAATAAAACCATAATAAAAGAATTTATTATTTATCATATGCAAAAGTATATTAATTCTAAATTTGTGTAAATAATAGTTGCATTTTATTAGCATTTGTTTCATTATTAACGGATATTTACGCTTTTTAAAAGCAATGACAATAAATTTTCCCAATTTGTATTTTATTCCATCGTTTAATTTTAAAATCCTACTAATTTTTTGCCTGTTGGACAATTTGTTGCTTCTAGCTATTGTAAATTCCCGTTTGTAATTTTGCGCTGTTGCGCTAATCGAATGCAATTAGTGGATGCGCGAGGTGCAAGTGAAAAGCCCGGAATTCAATTAAAATATACTACAACATAGTGATAGTACGTCATAATATCACCCACGGTAATAACAATTAATAACAATTCATGCGCGTACAAATTTTTCGCGTAAACCAACGTTTTATCAGTGATCAACCACTGATAAAATAAAACTTTAATTCATTTAACTCTGCTAATTGTACAATTTCCAAGGATAATAAACTTTATTCAAAGTTTCGATCATTTTCAAGATAAAACTATATGAGAGATGTAATTAAAAGTTGTACTATTCACTACTTGCAAAGTAATATGAAACGAGTTTCTAGTAATATTGTACAATTGCAATATTCTTTTATTAATTTCTAGATGATAACAAAAATACAGTTTAATATCAATTCGAAATAAGGTTGCTTAATGAGAATTGACAGTGTGATGAAAACGTAGGTAAAACGTGGGAGTAAACGGTGGAAAGGTAAAAAGATAACAGGGACGATGACAAAAAGCACGAATGACAATAATCACCTGTTGATCTTGATGGATATAGAGGCATAGAATGAAGGAAGGAAAAAATAGCGCAAATGTGAGCGTGACGCCGACATTTTTCACCTGTCCGTAACCGAGCTTTATTAAGTTTCAAAATTGATAAATATCTTTTTCAATAATAGCGAACATTGCAGAGTTAAAACTAAAAAATATCAATTTACATTAACTGCAATAAAATACTACAACCGTTATTTACTTTTATTGTTTCTATTTTATTTTTAAACAGTGCTAAATATTATATAACTATAATTAATTAACATTAAACCTCCATATTTAACTTTTTCTCTTTTTTTTCTCTTTTATTTTACTTTAATCTCTTATTTTACACTTATTAAGTTATATTTTTAAAACCAAAAGTAGTCTATGTCATTTTCCTTGGTTTAAAGTATCTCCATGCTAAAATTCATCAACGTTTTTCAGTGGTTTTTGCGTGAAATCGACACAAACAAACAAAAAACTTACATTTGCATGTATATCATTACTTAGAATGATTTTTTTATATATGCAACCAAACAAACACTAAATTTACTTAAATAATTATAATTTAGTTTTCTAGAAGAGAAAATCCAATATTTCAAACTCCAATAAATTAATTTTTAAAACAAATCAGAAGTTCAACCCTTCGTTAAATACTGAATGCTAATTGATAGGGCATTTCCATGACCGTTTTCCGTGCGCGTCTGATTGTTGATTTGTAATCTAGGCGTCTTGGCACGAGAACCACATTCTATTTGAGTATTTAATTAAGCATTGCGCAATCAAATCAAATCAATAAATGTCAATAACTAGAATAAATTCAGTTATTGACCTATGAAATTATTAATTAATTAATTATCTACACACAAGAATAGAAATCAATAGTATAAAGTATGAAATAGTGGGAAAGGTAGAAGGTTAAAACGTTTTCTTATAGTAAAAGTTATAAAAATAATATAATTTCAAGTTAAATTACTTTCTTCTAGATTCTACGAGTACTTGTAGAGTGAAAATTTGATTATGCTCGTGTTCATATTCACGTTCATGCATAAAGTTGTGAAAATTATGAAAATTGCGCGGTTAAACGCTCGTATAAAACCAAACGTGAATGTTACCTACATAAATTGCCTTCATTAATATGTTAATTACATAGAATAATTAATTCATTCACAAATATGCAACTATTCCGATATTATTATTCAAATTTTAAGAAATCTGATTATTTTACTCATACATAACCTAAAATTATCTTTACTATTGTCTAAAATATCGAAATAAGGCATTAAAACCGATAAAAATTAATTTTTGTTAATTTTACAAGTAAAAATTGTATTTATTGTTATTAAATATTTATTTACTTAGGATTCAATTAATTATTAAATTTATTCAACAATTCGTAAATTTTATATTCAAAGTTAAGAAATCTGATGATTAGAAACATTCATAACCTAAAATTAAGTTTTTCATGGTCATGGTCATGGTTTTCATAAAATATTAATTCCGAGCAAAATAAATTTTTGTTAATTTTACAAATAAAAACTTTATTATTTGACTTAAAACATTTAATTTATGCACGAGTGTTCTTTATATCTCAATGCGAAAATAATCCAACCATTTTTTTCACAATTAAAACACAGAACGCTGAAACAAAAGCGACTCAAAATACCTTAGGGCAATCAGTATTGCAATACACTTTTATTTTATTTATATCCACTTTGCCTCCCTGTATTCTCTTATATTCAATCGTTCCTAACATTTTTCCTTCTTTTTTCATTAATTCTGTATTTTTTTTTTCGAACTGCAACCAGCGATTCACCTTTTGTATTATATATTGTTATTTCCGCATCATTCACTTTTTGTATTCGCTCTCCAAATAATTATTATTAACACAATTGTTATCTTTGTGAATTCTTTTGTGTTGCAAGTGGCTTATAAGCGAAGTAAAATTAATTAATCAAGTAATTCTTTGAGTTTAATCCATGCCAACCTTAAAATTCGCTTTTAATCTTTCGTAATTTTGCATTCCGGGCGTGTTTCACGTGAATGCTTTGTGACAAAGAAAATCCGCGCATAAATTCGTTAATTTTTATTCACGTGGTGCTTGCCCGTTTCACGTGAGCGTTCAATTTTTGATTTTTCAGCTGCAAAGCGGAAAATAACGCCCGAAGTAACGTGTAATAAGCGCTTAATGTGCACGCGGCATCCACTCCTACCGATTACACGTGGATTACGCAGTTCTCATTCGGGTGGAAAGTGTGGGCGGCAAGAAAACGCTGGAATATTAATCACCGCATTGTGTCGGTGGTGGATTGTATTTTTGTGCGCAGGTATAGTTATATCAATTGGGGTTCAGTGCGAATATAAACGCAAATCATGTGCGAACTTCGATTTGTAATCGTGGGCAGTCCGAAATAACGAAACACAAAAAACGAGGTGAACAACGTGCCCGCAAGTTGCACCACGTGCATTCGATTTGTGGAATTAAAATGCGCAAACAATTTTCATTCCAGGTATTTCATCTATTGAAGTTAAATAAATTGCATTATAAATAGAATGCCCAAATTAACATTGCATTTGTTACGTTTGTTTTATATAGTTTATTTCGATATTATACATAGTTATGTCTTTTGTGTTTTTAATTGGATTACGTTGGTTTCTCTTGAATAATGAGAACAAAAATTTGTCTGAAAAGATTCTAATAGTTGTTTTATGCAATCATTGTGTGATGAAAGGGGTAATTTGTGGGATTTACCTGTTTTAATTTAATTTTCTGTTTTTTAACTGTAAAAATATTATAAATATAAGTTTATAATTAATTTTGCAGGTAATTAAAGTTCAATTTATTAAAACCAAAATTCAGAAAAGTTATGTATGTTGTTAATTATAATATAAATTATGTTTCGGCTTAAAATAACTGTTTAAACAATATTAAATTGTAGAATGTAAAGTTTGTAAAATTTATGGTGGATAATTTGTGTTCGATTGGTTGCCTATATTGAAACTATTTTTTTAACTTGCAGGGAAATATGAGAAATTGAAAAATAATTAATTTAAGTTAATTATTTAATAAGTAATAAATAAATAATTATAATTTTATATTGTATAAAGGTATAGTCGGAGATATAAATGAAAATATTAAAATTATTAATTTCCAAACTTATGATGATTTGTGTTTAGTTAGTTGCCTATATATTAAAATGAAGTTTGCAACTTGCAACCTTGAGAAAGCATATGTGA